AACAAAAAACACATCTTTTTGCCAACGAGGTCTTGGCAGCCGATGCTATTGTGACATAACAATGGTCCTTTCGACACGGCTTATTGGTATCTAAGATTACACCGCAATTTTAGAGTGGTTCAACATTTCTTGTTTTTAAAAACTCTTTGCAATTCCGAGGAGTCATTTTTATGAAATATGTCATTCAAGAAAAGAACGTGGTCTGATGACTATGTGCAGTATGGCTTAACCTGCTCAACTAAACATGACTCCAATGCGAAAATGACATGAGAATTGCTCTTTCTGAAACAAAGCCACGCATCTCTTAGTTGGTCACCGAAACACAGCAGCAGAAGTGTCACTAATAAATCTAATGAATAAATAAAGTTCACTGTTCGTTGCAATTTATGCTGCTACAACCAGTGGCGCAACCAGGGATTCTTTCGGTAGTTGATACTTGATACACTCTTGAGAAAACATTTCCTTCAAATTTAACCCAAAAAATCAACCTATGCTTAACAGTTAGGGAACGAATTCATAATATATAAACTGAAGACGGTTAAATTTTCTATAAATTTGTACAAGACCGGCCTTAATGAGTTCATATTGCGCTCTTAGTTCAAATATTTGGGGCTCGACAGAAGCTTTCGGAATAGCGTAGGGGTACAGCAGGCTCACAAATGTTAAGAATTGGTTATTGTAGCTTGTAGAACTGTTTATATCAGTTGCATTACACGTGGATTTTGTCAGAATGCCTAGGAGGGTTAATGACGCGGAGCAGTGAAAAAACACGTCCGCAATCCGCGCGTTCACCGCTCACATAAAACATTCGAGTAGAAAAGTACGTTACATTTTGCATACAATATGTCGTTCATGTTACCCCTTGTTTCAGAATCCTATACCTCTGTATATACTACTATTCTATGTTTTCCTTTCATTAATCTACACGGACAGAATCGTAAAAGAAGTACTACTACTTATCATTGTTCGCTTCCGTACTGCGGTCGATTTTTACCGCAGCGGTTTTCAATAGGATTTCTATAGGATATTCATTAGCACATAGCTACTGGTAGGGATTCGTGCCATGTAATTCAATTTGTTGAAATGAACCCATGTATTTATATCCGCAAGTTCAATCAATAATGAATTTAAACTAATCTAGGAAAGGAGTTTAAATAACAATGCTCATAAATCACAAAAATTGTTTAGAGCACCATAATACACTTCTATGCATTGGATCTAATAATGCTTGAACCCATGTCTTAAAGGCATTTTCCTTCATAAAAAAATTCCCCGTCTTCCATTCTCCCGAAAATGGTAATTCCAGACGGTGACAGCACATTTGAACCTACCTACATTTGAACCCATACATTTGCACCCGTAAACTGCACCCAAGTCATTTGAACCTCCATACGTTTGCACCCACCGACATTTGCACCTACGGACATTTAAACCCATACATTTCCACCCATGGAGTTTATCACCCGCATATAGATTGAACCCGCGGTCATTTGAACCCATGAACATTTGAACCCACGAACATTTGTACCCGCGGATATTTGAACCCATGAACATTTGCACCCGCGGACATTTAAACCCACGTACATGTGAACCCGCGGTCATTTGAACCCATGTACATTTGAACCCACGAACATTTGTACCCGCGGATATTTGAACCCATGAACATTTGCACCCGCGGACATTTGAACCCACGTACATTTGCACCCGCGTACATTTGAACCCGCGTACATTTGAACCCACGTACATTTGTACCCGCGGATATTTGAACCCACGAACATTTGCACCCGCGGACATTTGAACCCACGTACATTTGCACCCGCGGACATCTGAACCCACGTACATTTGCACCCGCGTACATTTGAACCCATGTACATTTGAACCCACGAACATTTGTACCCGCGTACATTTGAACCCGCGTACATTTGCACCCGCGTACATTTGAACCCACGTACATTTGCACCCGCGTACATTTGAACCCGCGTACATCTGAACCAACGTACATTTGAACCCGCGTACATTTGCACCCGCGTACATTTGAACCCGCGTACATTTGCACCCGCGTACATTTGAACCCGCGTACATCTGAACCCACGTACATTTGCACCCGCGTACATTTGAACCCGCGTACATTTGAACCCACGTACATTTGTACCCGCGTACATTTGAACCCACGTACATTTGTACCCGCGGATATTTGAACCCACGAACATTTGTACCCGCGGATATTTGAACCCATGAACATTTGCACCCGCGGACATTTGAACCCACGTACATTTGCACCCGCGTACATTTGAACCCGCGTACATTTGAACCCACGTACATTTGTACCCGCGGATATTTGAACCCAAGAACATTTGCACCCGCGGACATTTGAACCCACGTACATTTGCACCCGCGGACATCTGAACCCACGTACATTTGCACCCGCGTACATTTGAACCCATGTACATTTGAACCCACGAACATTTGTACCCGCGGATATTTGAACCCACGATCATTTGCACCCGCGGACATTTGAACCCACGTACATTTGCATCCGCGTACATTTGAACCCGCGTACATTTGAACCCACGTAAATTTGAACCCGCGTACATTTGAACCCACGTAAATTTGAACCCGCGTAAATTTGAACCCACGTGCATTTGAACCCGCGTAAATTTGAACCTACGTACATTTGAACCCGCGTACATTTGAACCCAGGTACATTTGGACCCGCGTACATTTGAATTTTGAACCCACGTACATTTAAACCCGCGTACATTTAAATTTTGAACCCACGTACATTTGTCAGCAACCCACGTGGGTGATCTCCAAAACAGACGATGATCTAGAAAGCGGTATTTCGTTGAGAAAACCAGGGCTAATATGGAACAAATATGTTATCGCTGTTTATTCTCCAAAATTCACAGACCCATGAAGTCTCAAATGAGGGTCTTACTGAAAGCGCCCACTATGGAATCACGCCCAGGTGACCGTACATTTGAACCCACGTACATTTGAACCCATGTGTATATCCGCGGGTTCAATCTATATGCGGGTGCTAAATCCCATGGGTTAGGGTTGGTATGGGTTCAACTATCCGTAAAACAAAAAAAAATTCCATATGTGCAATAGCATGCAGGTGCAATTGTCATGGGTTCAAATGTAACGGAACCTCACGCCCAGCATGAGATTTGGGAGCTCTGTGGCCACTTCATGTTTTCTTGATAGCATCTTCACAAAATTGTAATATGAAGGCATACACGACCACGCTTTACTGTTGAAAATGAGTGTTGTCTCAAATCAGGTTTTGCCATTATTCTGAAAGCAATCCATAAATTGGATATTATTGTCTGTATATAAATAAATAAGCGCACAGATTATTCGTTTCTAAGAAAATATGGAACTAAGATATTGAAACTATGCCATTTTTGTAACAACATTTTTGGAAAGCAAGGTGAAGACTTCGGCAACTTCGGTAAAGGGAACACAGGCCAGAGCCGCCAAACCTAAATTTCAGATTGAAAGAGGGTAGACATTCAAACTTCTCTTTTAATCCGATAGAACCAACTTTTCGAATTATAGCTTGTGACAGGTGAAAATAATATCCTTCAATTTCGGCCCGTGGAAATTGTGCATGGAATGCATTGATAGCTGCTATTTCAAAATCAACAATGATTTTGGTGGGGTTAGCATTTGGGAAACATTTCCAACATCTGAACGTATGTTTTCTTGTCGCTTGGCACGAATAGAAAATATACGCAGGGAGGATAGGATGCCCCCACTTTGCAGTGAATTGTATACAACTGGAAAAAAATATTGGGTACCACATCAAATGTACCGTCGCCAAGATATGTGTCACTATCTGGATGTGCAAGTAGTGATCGCTCTTCAATGGCAATTATTCGATGACGATCCTCCGGGCCAGTGCATGCAAAATGATATCTAAATATTCGCTCGGATTATTAAAGTTAGCACTTGTAGGATTCGTATGAGAACAATTTTTCTGTCGCCCTACTCTTCGTATATTTGCCTCCAGGGTCGACTTGCTTGGCAAGCGCATTAGTATAGTACATCTGTTGATCTATTATTCAATACTTCACATAAAATATATCTTGTCGATGTATTTAAAGGTGTTTATGCTGCTTCTTTTAATGTTGCACGAATGATCCCAACTTCCGTCACAATGCTGTCGCCAGAATGACTGTGAAATCCTAGTTCTTTTATTACATTTTCACCGATCGTAACAACAGTCGATTTACATCGAAATTTTCTAAACTGACGGCTTTCGCTTACAATATTCGTGGCCTTTGTAAATCAGTATGTCGTTTCCTCTTGCGGTCTTGGAAAATGTAGGCGCCATGTTTCCAACTTATTTTCGCATAGGGACTTGTCATCTTCGCAGCGGCAACGTCCTAAAGAAACAGTTTGGAATTGTCAGCGAAGGAAAAAGGGCATTGGTGCGAGGAAAAACTTTGCGTGGGATCGAACTAACACATCAAATAAAATCCTTGCTCGATTGGCGCCGCGCTCTTCAAGAGTTGTCGACCGTTCAAAGCACAAATCATACTCCCAAATTTGGCTCGCATTTCCCCGTGGAACATTTTGTCAATTGAGTCCTATGATATCGACAATCGCAACGACAATGACAGACGGAGTATAATATAAATATATACGACCATGGTTATAATGATTGTATTCGCAACGTATACATTGGAAATAAGAATCCTAAGTGTACCTTTCAACCCTATAATAGCATGGAAGGATAAGGGTGTGTATGTTATACGCTAAATCCGTAAATGCAAATGCCCATGAGTATAGATGTTCATGGGTGCAAATGTCTGTGGGTGCAATTGTACATGGTGTGTAAAAGTACGCGGGTGCAAAAATATGCGGGTGCAAATGTATGCAGGTTCAAATGTTGATATTTTTTCTCTTTCTTGTTGCTATTGTTGTTGCGAAAAAATGCTTTTCTCTTCAACTACCGAACCAATTACTTGCTAACTTTTAGAGGCTGAAGATTGTTGTTGTCAATATAAGGCTATTTATTATTTATATTAAACATTAAATTAGGTATTACTAAAATATGAGTAATCACAGTGACAACAAAACAAATAACGTAACAAAAATTCTACATAAACACCACTCTAAAACGTAATCGACGATAGATAAAGCACCGGTATCGGTTGCAATAAGCATTACTGTGTCTCTCTGAGAGTATATGGTCGTATTTTAGCGAAAAAGTTTTCCAAGTAGCCTAATTTTGACTAATTACAAGGCACTGTTTCGATTTAGAAACCCTTTCCTATTTCTGAAAGAGATGTAAAACCAGGGATTTCAGAAATTCGCGTTGATCTCCTCAGTGGAGATGCTGTATGACGCTTTGATAAAGCTGGTTTGTTAAAAATTATGGGACGAGCAAGCGACGAAGTGCCCGGTAACGAGTCATATTGTTCTTTTTCGATAACATCTGCCTTTACGATTTCTTTAATATTATAGTCTTTTTTGACTGGAACTCTTACTCTTTCTGAATGCCACACATCGTCATCTGATGAAGTACACCGGCTGCGACCGCTCTCGTAACCGACATCTACAGAAGTTGAACTGCTATATCCGTGAAGGGGATGTTTTCGTCGTACGCAGCATTGTGCTTGGTTATCGCTACTGATAAATTCAGAAGAAAATCCGACTAAAACTGGAGGAGTAGGTGGAGAAAACGACGATATTTCTGTGGCATCACTGCTGTGTCTCTCTTTCCCACCAGTTGCTTTAACCTCATCAACAGATCTTGCGCGAACCAAAAACATACTAATACTTCTGCGAACTGAGCTTACGGCTCTTGGAATATATCTACTCGAAGTTTCATCTTGTTGTTGATTCTTTTTTTGTGGCTTATATGACCGATTTTTTGTCGATGCATTAGTTTTTTCTTTCTTGTGCGCTACTCTAGGAGAAGTATTGCCTTTTGTTTTATTCTCACTTTTGATATCATACTGGTAAAAAGAAATGACAGAATTCGAATTCGATCCAGCTGAATGATGAGAGCAAGTTTCATTGTCATCTTCGTCGTCAGTTAAATTGTCGTCGAGATTTTGTGATTGAGATTCAACTGACTGTCCAGAAATATAACAGTTTGTTTTTGCGATGTCTGACGGACTTCCCGGAAGAAATGTCGATTTTGGAAAAATCTAAACATAAATGCAACAATTGTTATAATAGCGATATATGTTTCGCAATGTGAAGCAAACACACAAGCAACATACAAATCCCATATCCAAATACATATGTTACAAAGGTAAATCTTCGAGAGTGTAATGAATGGCTAATGGTCTGAGGCTGGTGTCTCTATAGTGCAATATCAATATATATTGTCAATCTAATTTAATACAGACAACTTGTTGATCAATAATATTTGGCACAATGGGAAATCACGATTTGGTGTTGATCAATCACTGATCTACGTATCTTAAATATGACGTGCAGTATTATTGCAGGTCACAGATGGATGTTTGATAGTACTTTCCATAAATAAACGTGCAGAATGTAGGATACGTCAAATAAAGTTTACGTAGTATTTTATCTCATTGTTAATCAAGATTTAAAACACATTGTTATGACAAACTAATATGATTCTTGCTAGGCTAGGGGCAATACTCAAAATACAAAATTTGTATATATTTCATTAAATGGGACAGACATTTAGGATCGACATTAATAACCACACAGAGACTATGGCATTTTGTTGGCGATTTAATATCAATTCAATATAGATAGCCACTTCTAAATGTCAAATTTAGTATTTAGCGTTACCTACCTTGAACCAGTCGTCTCTTCCGGATAAACATTCAGTGGTGTTTCTCGGCTGATTACTAGTTAGATATTTTAAAGCGATATGTACTGTTCCCAAAAATGTTTTTCTCTTTACCGTTCCTTTTGACGCCTTGTAGACACAAACCTAATTAAACAATAGATTTTTAATTTATTTCAATTGATTTTCGCGACATTTACCTTATTTTAGCTATGCACAGTCATGCCTAGGACTTGCATTGCGGCTTGAAAAATACGACGAAAAAATCAATAACCAAATTCTATCTAATCCAATTATGATGAGGTTGCTTTGCGCTGAAATGATTTGAGCCAACCAAAGGGGTTTATTATTCAAAACGATTATTCTTAGATAAATATTATACATATTTTATTTGTTTTTCTTGATTAAAACCTTGTATAGTACCTGTAATATTGCGTCAACAATTTTATCATTCTTCATTCCGTTTTCGGACTGTTGTTTACGGAAACTAAAGCTGCAGCTTCCTGGATGACCCCTTTTCAAAGAGCTTCCTTTTGTAAGACTTCTAGTCTTCCTTCCTAGAGTGCCAGTTTGGGTTGCTAAATCTTCAGCTCCAGCAAGTACCTCTCCGTTTTGCCATATGTAGGACTTCAAAAGAAAATCTGAAAAAAAGCAAATATGAAAATAAGCAAGGTATATCAAAAAATTTGGACATGTATCTCGTGAGAATATTATCCAACTTACTGCATAGATCGTTTTCTTCAAATTCCGGTGCACCTATTCCACGAGCAGCGAGGATCTTCGTCACGAGCTGATCGCAAGAATTTTCAATTGATATCTAGGAGAAAAGTACATGAAAATATTTGAAAACCACATGCCACATAAGCCACAAAATATTGTGTATTATTTGAAGCGTGAAAAATGTAGGTTGTGCAATCTATAATGACAATCACGCAATTCAGTTTATAATGCATGAATTGGGCAAAGTAAAATTCTATTTTCAAGTATCGAGTACATTGACGTCAAAGAATCAATATATTTTGAATTTATAACAACGCGAAAGAACCTAAAATTCCATTTCTGTTTAACTAAATATGGCTCGAATGGCAGCACACAATGTACCGTCGGTGTCTTACGGGTCGAAACACTGAATCAAAACAAGACGTGTTCTTCGGGATTTTTCGTTTTATTTCAGAATGACAAGAGGTGCCTGATGGTCGTAATTTTCAATGCCTCAGCAACGGACCTGATCTAATGTGCCATTTGCGAATTTAATAAACAAGTCTACAATGTAATATGTATGGACCTGCCTTGAAATAAAAGCATCTTTTGGAAATAAGACTCGTCTTTAGGGATAACTAATCAATAATTAAAGCAGGCTCTACGAACGATTTTGGACTCTCGTATTTCTATGCGTGCATGACCGAGAAACGAAGACAGAAACCAACCGAATTGTTGTCGATCCATTCACTTTCACTTTGAGACACAGAAATAGGGGTGAATTCAATATGAGCTAATTGGACCCACCACGACGCGAAACGAAGGAGAAATGAACTGAGATTTGTGTATAGACATGAAATAAATTCCAGCGAACACAAGAAGTAGATGATTCAAATTAGAATTACGTACAAACATCAAAATTATGAAAGTGCCTTTACCTGAAGGTATCCAACGGGAAGCGCCACGAGTGATTCTCTATCCACAATCTGTCCTGGGCCGATTGGTTCCACAAACGATATTAAATTTGCATCAAGCATGTTGTTAGGTTGTAATAATCCAGTCTCTAATTGTTTAAATGAAACTAGTTACTACCGTGAGAACTAAGAATTTTCTAAAAGACGACCAATTTAAAGAATTAGTCTTAAAGCATAACGACATCGTTGATGTAACAACTTATTTGAAAAGTGTGTGATGAAGCCATTTGTTAATTTCGAGAATTGAGATCCGGTCATGTTTTTAGATCACATCATTGAAAGGTCAATCAACATTCGTTAATACCGAAATTTCCCCCGATATCACTTATAAATTGACTATTGATGATTTGACACAACGTCATATGAGCAAATTGTATCAAATCAGTCCACAATCAAGAAATATCGAGTGATACATCATTTAGACAAGTACTTTGAATTAACGAACTGCACTTAATGGTTTTCATGGGTATCCAACAATAAAACATTTTGTGACCTGAAATATTAATTTATGCGTGACTACAATCTTTGCGATCAGTTGGCATTCCACCCAATTATTGATCGAATAATTGAGACAATAGAACACACACTGCTGATAAGTTTTCTGTATGTAGGGAAAATATACGTTCCGTACACTTATCCCACAGAAAAGGTAAGTGGAATGAAGTCATTTAACTCCTTTTTATATATGCGATTCCAACGCCCTCTCGAATTCTTGATATTTCATATTATAATAATGAACCTGAGGTTAATATTGTTCTTTTTTTCGTTATTAAATTTGTTATTAATTCCGGAGTTATATTTTGCAAAGGAGTGTAGAATGCGGTTACTTTCCAAAAGGGCAATTTGTTGAATTGAAGTTTGGATGGAGTTTTTGTAAGTCCAACAAAATACTGAACTACATCAAATAAATATAAGAATTAAGTTGAATTTGAGATCCGCTCTCGCAGTAAATAAAGATAGCTTTAAATCATTTGTACATCGCATTTCTCGCAAACAATAGTCTAGAATTGAAGTCCAAATTGAGTGTTTGTAGCTTCAACAAAATACTAAACTACCTCAAATATATATGTATAAAAAATAAGTTGAATAGCTCTAAATCATTACATCGCATTTCTCGCAAACCATAATTTCCATGAAGTAACCGACAAAATTGAGTCGCTTCCAATGTGGGACTGTGTTCGTGGAGCTGTCACACAAATTATCGGTTCCTTCTCTGACCATTCGTAAACCTTCGCATAAACTCAAACAATTAATTCTTCGGCGTTCTATTTCTGGGCGAATGCATCGCGTATGTCTACCGATGTGTTTACTGCCTAACACTAGTGCGCAGCTTCGTCATCGTGCTGTATGACGCGTCTACAATCGCAACAAATGAAAAAATAAGCTCTAATAGCCGATGCGGCTTGCGCGTCTCGTGTGGTAATTTTTGTGAGAAATGAGGCGTTTCGGAGAATGTAGTATGCGCTTATTCAACTAACCCAAACAAACTATTACCACTGCCATTGCATAACAGTGATATATTCATAACAGCTGAACCAAAGTCGCTAACAGAAAAATATAACTTACTTTGTTGAGTATAAATATGCGATCTGTTTATTCGACATCAACAAGACATGCCACCATAAATGAAATAACCATTAGGCTCAATAAAGCATTTTCCAAATTACAAAAAAAATCATGTCGATTTTCCTTCATAGATTTTGGTGAAAATATCATAACGCATTACTTGTCGAAAAGTCACCATGAATCCTAATTGATCCAGTTATTGATTTATTTACTGTTCAATCGTGTCAGCGTTAGCAAATTAATAACAAATCTAAACTTGAACATTCTCATTCGAAACCTCAATTTCTATTTTATCGAAATCGCAATTTACCATACAAATTCTGGCAAGATACGTCACTGTTTCCAGAGAAAATCATACTTCTCTGAAAAATTCTGTTATAGTTTTAGAATATCGTTTGCAACATTTATTGTAATCGGTTCGGAATTGCCACGAATGTATTATAACGACGTATCTCGCGCATAACAATACCACGGTTCTAGTTCAACTTTACAGCTAGCATATTGCTTTTCGAAACTATACTGTATTATCGCGGTACAATGATAAAATCACGATGGCTCATCCCTTAAATGGCATACACGCGCGTATTCCGTGCGAAGGCGTTGTCATCAACAGAAAAAAACAATGTATCTTGCCTCAAATATCAGATTATAGCCTCGGGCGTTTATCTAACTTCGCAGAACACAAAGATTATCTGGCGAATGAATAACACTTTCCGTACAAAATTGGCGACCAGGAAAACAAGTAATTCGACATAGTTCAGCCCTGAAAGTTTTGATATGCTGTTTTGTTAAAACGAAAATGTCACGAACTCGAAAGACATCGTTATAATTGAAATCAGTATGATTATGGTATAATCTGTTTTCAATTTTTACACTTACTCGATGTAAAAGTTGGATTTCATTAATTTTTTTCTCAATTTCGTATGTTATTCTTTACTGAATGTAAAAAATAAACTTGACTGTGACTATAATGAGGAATTGGAGATAGATAATGATTTATTTCCGAATATTTCATTACACATAGGTACATATTGAAGTAAGAATAAAACAAACAAACAATAATCATGAAATATAATCGGAAGGGGGCAGGCAATACGAGGTTGACCGACTCTCAAGTTAAGCATGCGGACATTATCTTCTCAAAGCTCTGCGCGTATCCATGGGAAATTGAAAAATTTATCGTGTTTCCTCAATTCGATTGAGCGAACGGTAACTCGCGGATCGCAATTATCTCAAGAATGTGTAAGATAAATATTGCGACGAAGATAATGATATTTATAGCTTGTTTCGAGGCTAATTAAATATTAGCATATATTTCCACAAATCAAAGCCTCATGAACCTATTATGAAGTGAATAATGAAAATGCCAAATCAACTGGTGACTCACAACGACAGCTCATTAACTCCTTATCTTCAGTAAATCGAATGAACAGCGAACAAGGTACTTGCTCATAAGCATAAAATAATTGCCTCAATTATGACAATCGACGTAAAGGGAAAAATCATTCATTACTATTCTTAAGCGGCTTAGTAGATATAAGCCACAAATTCTACTTCAGCGGATCTTTGGCGACGAGTAAATTCAAGGATAAAGCAAAGGCATATATGCAACTTAAATTTCACCCTCAATTCTGGAAAACAAAATATGCACAATTTTAAGAAGTCCAATTTGGAATACATAGCTTTACATAATTAGGTTTTTTATTTATCCTAATCAAACAATGCTTATATTGTCTGTACGAGAATTAAAGGTAAGTGTTACAAGAAGGTGTTTTTCAATCAAACATTATGTTATTATATAAAATGAATAATATAATATGAATGATAACTCAAAATTCACTTTATTTTCACTAATGGAAATTTTTAAAACTGAAACATTCAAATTTTAACATCACAAAAAATGTCCTGTACAATATGTATGTAATTCTATGTAGGTTTATTCATCATGTTATTATATAGATAAGGTGGTAATTATTTAATTTGGAAACGTGATGTATGCATAAAATCGTACTAGCCTAAAACCCAAGTATGCGGCATGCCATATATTTAGACAAAAATCGCATTTGGTGTTGTTTTGTCATGAAATTATCCAGAAAAATCTTTTGGCATATTGTTACATCATTAATGTCTGTGAATTGACTAGTGTTATGGCTAGCTGAGGCAACCAGCGAAGTCGAATGACGTGCATGGCGGTCTGACTTCCTATCTTTATTTTTCGAGATATATGCTAACAATTTTGACATCATAGAAAACTAAAAATCGAATGCGGATTATTTTAGCCTAGGTTCACTATGCCTGATAACTAAATATTAATGTTATGACCTAAAAATATAATTCACGCCGGGTGTTTTCTGCAACCAGCCCAAACAGTATCACAAAAAATACTGCCTGTATGTCAGAAAACTTTACCCTTCTGTACCTTACATTTCGTAATCGATTAATCTACAGTTATTCTGCAAACATGAGTTTGAAAAGAAAGCTGACGAATTTTAACTGGAAGTGAGCATTTTCCAAAGTTACGATTTTGCTTCGAAAATCGTATCGAAGTTTGGAAACACTTACATTTGCAGAAGCACTTTTTCAGTTAAGAAGAGTTTGGAATCTTACACTGAATATAGATACAGAAGGATATTTGCAGGTTCTAGTAAGTTTCTTTGGTGGTTTTTGGCTGTTTTGACTTGATAAATGACAAATAGTGATCAATGTGTTTGCACAATAAAAGTGTTTGTTTTGCATTGCACTGTTTATCTATTCTTGGCTATATTGTGGCCCGCGAACAATGCAAAAATAATTTGGCCCCCGAAGCCGACAACCTTGAACCACCCTGATCTAGAGTCTGAAACAGTGGTTCTCAAACGGTGAGGCGCGTCCCACAAAGGAGGCGAAGACAATTTTTGAAGGGGCGTGAAGCTAATAAAATTAAAAAAATTATTCATTAGATTTGATCTTGCCTGCCTACTTTTCGATATTTACATTTCTTTATTTTGGATATTTACGTTCATTATCAGCGTGTCGGATGAAACCTATTTTCGCCTTACTATCTGGTATTTGTAGCTTATCGTTAGCTAGTTATTCTCGAAGTTGGACGCGAGACTCAGAGCAAATTTCAAAAAGTGGGCGCGGCTTAAAAAGTTTGAGAACCACTGATCTAGACTCTAGGAAACAGCTCTGAAACATATGGACACCAAAGCCGGTACAGAACAGTCTTGGAGCACCGAGTTTGCTGAAAAGATTGGCAAGAGTAACGGAAGCGATCAATGGTGACGAACTACATAAGTGTATCTCTCCAATTGAAAGAAAACATCAATTTTTAAGTGAAGTCTTACAAAGTACTATGTAAAGTCCAAAAAATATATATATAATTAAAAATAAGAGCCTTCTAGCAACCTTCGAATGCTAGATTGTTTCATAAGTTACAGAAAAGGAGACTTGTCCAAAAACAAACACCCCAACAACAACAGTGTAATCAATATTCAACAACATTTGACAAATCTAGTCATAAGATAATCATGGAAATATCAATGAGAGAAAATAATAGGGGTAGAGTGTATAGCATCTAGAATGGTAAGGACAACAAAAATTTGATGAGAGACGAAAACGCGTCTAGATTTCCGATCTACCATCAGATGCGTGTCTATGGGGGTTCTTGTCCCGGGCAGCATAACAGTTTGACACGCTTCTGTCTACCATACATGGACGATACAGTTTGCTCATGCAAAATTGTTTCCATTGTGAGAAATACATGGCTCATAATAACAACAAGGTGACGATATCATCCTATTCTTGATCCTCTTGCCAAAACATTTTAGACATCTATAATCGATAGGATTAGAATTGTTGATGAAGGGTTTGAATGATTCATGGTATATACTATATATTATATAGGGTAATCAACGTGTTTTTTTCAAATAAACCGCATTCAGTTATCCTATAATAGCCTTAGCCAAGCGATTAAAGAATAAGTGAAAACAAAGAAAGCTCCACAATATATGCACTACTTCATTTCCCTCGAATATTTTGTATGTTTATGTAGACGTAATAAGTTAAACGGATGCACACATTATAAATATTTATTGTATATAATCAGAATAGTTTACGCTTACGGTGCTCCCGAAGTATGCGAACCAAGATGGCGGACATCGGAACGTAACATGGGTAACAGGTTAGGCGATAATTTTTTTCCAATTTTAGTCCTATTATCAGTTCGAAGACTAGCCAAGAGCCTCCCGTAGTATTTATACCTGAAATTATGGCCTAACCCTAACCTAGTACACATATTACATTCCGATGTCCGCCATCTTGGTTCGCATACTTCGGGAGCCCCACGCTTACTTTTGACCACAATGTGTTGTTCTACCGACAATTTTATCTATGTTATTACTTAATGTAATGGACCTTTGACCCTCGAAAAATTCTTCCTATACTTTACCATTGCAAAATTTTCGGGGCTATTTGAAGAGTGCTATTGCGGCGCCTGTAAAATTGGGTATGTGTTTCAAACCATCATTATGATTCATCGCATACAACAATCTGCTTTTTGAAAGTACCGGTAATTAATTTTAGCCTAGTCTATCACAGCTATTTCCACACTAATTTTTTATTACAGCAATTAAATTTAAACTCCTAGGAAGACAGTGTGATCATTGAATGATCTGATTTTATTTAAGTTTCCGAAACACAACTGAAAACTAATGAATAGAGTTCAAAAACGCCAAAACGAAGTAATGTCTACGACCACACTTGAAAATCTGTCTGAGTGAGAAAAGTGTCTGGGCGAATGCGAAAAGGGAGCATTGTTACGTCACTTTTTGCATCTTGCTGATCGGTCAGTGTCACGAAGTAAGCAAAAAAAGTCGATGCTCGGGGAAAGATCCATGGAGATATAAATCTCTATTTATTACAAGAAAACCGTATTTACCTTAATAAAGTCTAACGCTTTAATTAAATCTTCAGAATAAAAACATTTGGGAAACATTTTTTTTTCCTTTATCATTTGTTTTTGTTTCAAGAGCTGTTACCGATAGTTGTATAATCTGATTAAAATGGTTTTGACCTTGATTTCTTTTGTTAGGCATTGTCCAATATTGTTTTCATTTGAGTTTTAAACTGTCTTTTCTTTGAAAATTGCATGTGCGACCAATGTGGTCTTTAAATTTCCTCATATTTTTGTTTTTGTGCGATCGAGTTTGGGAGATATTATTCCGCTCTCTAGCGATTTCTAGAGGAAGGCATATGATGTTGAGGGGAATAACCGAAAAAGTGCGTGTAAGGCTAAGGCACACCTCAACGGTGCGGTATAGAATCACTACGGTACTAGTAATACCGTACAGTGTCAGATCTCAGGATCTGCTATTTTATTTATATACATTTCTGTAATTAGGCCTACACCCTCTTTTTATCAGCAGTTGTTTACGTAGTGCAAAATTTGCCTAATACTTTGAATATGGCAAAATATTTGATCCAAACTTTAGTGTATGTTGGCTTGTTCTTACTTGTAACTGCTACAGATGATCCGGCAGTAATTGAACTGGATGCAAAGGTACAGTATGGTGAACCTCAATTTTCTGATCTTAGGATTTCACCGATCTGCTTAGAAATGCGAAGTACAATAACATTACTCGAAAATCCTACATACTCTGTTTTTATATCTATATATCGTTTAGGTTTATTGCGAATCATATGCTGATAATCTGATAACAAAGTAACAGAATTTGCTGTAAACTTTTTAAGTATAAGGTTAATTTCGTCTTTATAATCTGCATTAAAGACCAAATTCAAAATTATTAAATGAATTCACACACACTGACACACAACCACAGAGATATCATAAAGTAAGAATAATGCGAGAAATGCGGTAAATTACATAGTAAAAAAAAATAAGTAAATGAAAATAATAAAAATTATTGCCACTCCATATTAATAATTTTATAACAGTTGCCAAATTCAATATCAGTTTTGTACACAAGAGTGAACAATAAAGAAATATTTATTAATAAGATAGCTAAATTCAATTGGGAGTCAAATGCCAAATTTCCCAACCAAAAGTTGCCTCAGTTGGGTGCATGAAGAGTTGAGCTAGATCACTTTATTTAAAAACAAACTTGCAAATTTTGAAATCTTGAATGCGCTCACAGTGCAGTGGTATGAAAGGTCCCAGGTCAATTATGCAAGCTTCTGCAACAGTCTAAAGATGGCAATGGATATTTTTTTTCTGATTGATGTCAATGACTCAGTAAAAATAATATCGATCCCTGTTAAGTTGGTGTACTATGAATTTGCAGACATAACAACAACAATAAATATAAATATAGTAATTGAACTTAGCTCTGTAGCTTGACATATATCCTTTTTCTTTTTGCGAAGAATGTCAAAGAATTGAAAGGTTGTGGTCTTGTGGATTCAAATTGGAATAAAAAATAAATATAAAATTGGTAAATACTTCATCCATAAGGTCTCGTGTAGTTTCATACCTCAAGTACTCCTGGTGGGCGTAGCAAAAAAAAACCTTTTGCTTCGCCCACTAGAAGTTCTTGAGGTACGAAACTACACTAGACCTCATCCTTGTACTGGTTTGCTTCATAGAAATAACATGAAAGTATCTTATCATTCATATTTACTACAACTCCTATACTTCTAACTAAAGTTTTTCATGAGATTTAAAAAGGTTAATCATTTTATTCAGGAGTTCATTGGTGATCAAAGCCAGGTTGGATTTACTGCAGCTTATGGTGATGTCAACATGGATAAGAAAACAGATGTTTTTGTAATATCAAGTACAGTATCTTTGCACAATATTTATAAATATATATGATATATATATTTCATACCCTTACACAGTTACACTAAACAATGTACTGCACAGGAAATGTATGTAAAAGGATGATAGACTTATAACATGCTACCCAATTCTTGGCCTGGGTTTAAAATGAACCGCATTAGGATCTTGATTCTATTATCTGGTAATTATTTTTTTTTCCCAATATGCAATATTTTATTTTTTTAAACCCTGTTTTAATTATGGTTGTGTCCCTTTGATAACCAGTTTGGGATCTTTTATATCCTAAAATACCATTCTTGATTCATTCTTCAGATTTATTCCCCCACTTAATGCCTGCCTAATTGTTTTCTAGATTCTAGGAAAGAAATTCTTATCTTCCTTGCATATGAAAAATTTCCTATCTTGAGACTGAATCAAACATTAGTACTAGATGTCATTGCAACATCAGCTGTTCCTGCGGATTTTAATGGGGATGATATAACTGATCTTCTAATCACTAGCAAAGAAAATGGTAAGAATTGCCTTTTGGCTCAAGTTTATTACTAAATGAAAATGTTAGTGAAAGGTTGTTCAAAAATAATTTTTATTTCGATAGCAGCTTGTTAGATCTATAATTAGGAAAAGATGGTGTGGCTCGTAGCCGCTGTAGAGTGGTTCACGTAACCGCCGATCGGTTATGGCTTCCTCCACCATCAAGTCCATGCATCTGAAAACAAATAACTGGTTAATTAATACCTGGACGAAGGGCCATGGTTCGATATATGATTTTAAGTGGTATTATCGGCTTTCCTCTCCCATGGGATAAATATGTAAATCCTATCCTATTTTATATTTTCCTAGAATGTCTTGTTTCAACTACAACAACAACACATACATTTTATCTTTTCATGTAATATTTATAGCAATGTATATTTTGATTTAGAAAATATGTACCATGTCTTAATCTATTGGGGTGGTAAAGATGGAAAATTTTCATCGGAAAATTTCTATGAATGTCCAGAAAGATTTTATGATGAGCCTTTAGTTTTAGATGCAAATGCGGATACAATTTCTGATCTTTTTGTTGTTTATTCAAACCACACTACCAGGTAGGTGATTATTATGATATTATAGTTCAAAGTATTGGAGATTGTACTGCTTATCTGATCATTATGAAGAAATGATCGAATTCTTTTTTAAATCATCATCATTTTCTAATCAAAAAATGCTGCGGTACTCAAAATGGAACCGCACATCGCAGCTGCCTATTGATCATTCAACAAGAAATCAAATATAACATGGACATAAAGACCTAAACGTACTAGTATGAGTATTGCAATCTGTCACAGTAGATTACTGGTACAACAATCTTCACAACTAACGTGAAAGCGGTACCACCACAAGGTGCGCATTTTTTGATGCGCATTATTGTCTTATAGAGCTTGACGAAATTTGCGCATTCGTTGATGCGCATTACTGTCTTATAGAGCTTGACGAAATTTGCGCATTCTTTGATGTGCATTACTGCGCATAAATATTTGCTCAAATGTTTAGCAACTGATACGAAATCTTTTGTATTTTTATCTCTATTATGTATAGTATAATCGTTATTATGTAAACACTTAAATAATTATTTTTATTTAGGTACACGTGTTGTTAATATGTTTTGGGAAGGGCCTATTTTGGAATGTGTAAAAACTAATTGAAATAATTACAATTGTTTCTTATGGCAAAAATGTTTCGGTACTCGAACAATTCAGAAGTTGAACAGAACACCAATTCTGAATGAATTATGTTCGACTACCGGGGTGTAAATAGTATTGTCTTGCTATGAACTTGAAGTCCTTAATAAAAGGACAAGGGGCAATGGTCGAGGGAGAAATCAAGGCAATGATATAGTTTTGAAATTATAATTTTAATTCATCATCAGAATTTCAAAAAATTATAATACAATAATCTATGTAACGGTTTTGAATAGTAACAAATTTATCTTATTTCTCTGAAGACACAGATTTAAATAGGACTCTAGTCTAATAGCCCATATAACAAAAAAGTCAGTTACTACTTATGTTCAATTTATGTTTTATTTGTACTACATCAATGTATATTCTTTTTTAGAGGATTTCTTATAGGGGTGACCAAACAAGATAAATGGAGTTTTGTGTCGAAGCCTTTCAAAACACGAGATGACATCGAACTCCTTGATCCATATTCCCCACACTCTAATGCATTAATTGATTTGACCGGAGAAGGTTCTGCGGATTTATTTCTTACTTCTGAAAAAGAAGGAAAAATTGAATATGAAATTTGGAATGTGAGTATGAGCACTAATTCACTTAATTTTGTTATTTTTTAATTGAACAATTTTTTTATTGTCTGTATTCATATTTTTCATATAAAAGTAGAAATTTTGACATATCCGAGTCACAATGTATGCCTTCCCCTAATTGCATGTTAAGTATGCTTATCAGAAATTTTAATGTAAATTACAACTAGCATTGAAGAATGCGAAATTTTTTTAGAATTCTCTTCGATAATCATGATTAATCTCATCTTAAATCCTACATCTTTGAACAGGGTTCATCATCTGGTTTGGTACAATTTAAGACAATATCAACCTATGAAAATGATCCGAATGTAGAAGTCAGCCCGGTGGCATTCTCTGATTTCAATGCAGATGGAAAACAAGATATTCTTATTGCAGTATGCACACTTGATGCAGACAGGTACCATGATGTTTAACTCGTTTTTTAAATCTGGAATATAGTCATGGTTCACCAAAGCAGTATTCACCAAAATAATTTTTTAGTTTTATTGAAACATCTTTACTTTTTCTGGTTTCGCCCTTTTTGGTTGAGCCCTCATTTTGTTGCAGTAATTATGAGTAATATACTGATATGTGATTTGGGCGGAGGAGAAGGTTCAAAAATTGGATTGCTCATTTAATTTTATTTTGCATTTATCAGGTTTGATCCACTCCTTTTTTTGTTTTATGTAGTTGCAAAGATGGAAAAATTGTCATTTACGCAAACGACAAATGGTATAATTTATTTTCTACCAATGAAGAATGGAGTTTTCCTAATACAAAAGAGTGAGTTATAAATTATCTCAAATTCGCTTGAATATTTTATTTGCATTGTCAGGTATTAGGAAAATGGAAAAAAACTTCTTTATTAGATTTACCACTGTACTATATGGTGCTATAGATTGAGTTTCTGCAGGACTAACTACTTATCCATATTCTATGCTTGTGCTGGCGGATCTGTATCATATAATGCAAGGATGCTGTAGCAAGAGTGAAGATAATAGTTCTAAGGGATTAATTGTCTTGCTGCACAGTAACACAAATCTATTTCTTTAGTGTTTCGTCTGACGCAAGTTAGTTAAAAATTCTGTATGTCTGACATTGGTTGGACGAAACGTTACAGAAACATGCGCCTATTTGTGTTAGTCTGAACCAGTGTTCACTATTAGCGCACATTTTTGCGAAAATTGCGAAGCACTTTCGCAACTTTTTTTAGGGACTGCGAAATAGCACTTTTTTCCGATTTTGAAGAGAAATAGCACTTTTTTCCGATTTTGAATGGAATAAAAATTCAAAGTTAACAAATATTTTCGAGTATTAAGTTACTGTACTTTTGTAACTCAATTCTGATATCATAACGATATTTACCGGAATTCTAACCTATGAGATGCAGAACATAGGAGATAAAGCTTTTGCATTAACGGCAAAATTCTTGTCTTATAATATGATTATTTTACAAGCACAGGATTCCGCTTCTCCCGCAAAAAACGCTCCCGGGGCGTTTCTTTGAACGAGAGTGGTCATGTGACTATCGATGATATCGGTGAATTCAAATTGACTATAAAAGTGTTAGTAACCTGTTATAGTCACTTTGGATGAATTTGTGACCAAACTGCACGATTTCAAATCAAGACGGAAATTTTAGCAGCATGTCACAGATTTGCAAAATCAACAAATTCAACAAAATACCATAAGTGCCATTTTATTGTAATCACAATGTTGAAAGGACGTGGCATTTTCCGGAATTGCGATATTTACACAATATTTCTCATTGATATGCGAGGAGGGGTGGGCAAAATTCAATATTTTTTTAAATCGAATATTTTTAAGGAGTATCGAATAAACGTGGTGGAAACATTAAAAAATCGGCAACAAAGACTTTTTACTGGTTAATTCCGTCGTAATCGCTAATTGTTCTTGTCACCGATCGTTTTGGCGGCGATATCCAGGTTTTGGGTAATCTATATTCCCGCCCTCTCTTTTTTACAAATATGAATTCTTGTGGGTCGGCGGACATCGAAGTTTTATATTTCGGGTTTACCCGTTCGTTCACATCGGCAACAGCTGTTGAAGACATTGAGGACTCAAATTAACATTTGCGCTGGCTTCAATATTACCTATCAAGATTTGTAAATTTACCGTCCCAATTTTATGCGAATGGTAATATTATTGTCCATACCGTGACTCATGTATTTCTATGGTGATAAACTTCGCAAATCTGAAATTGTGCCAATCCTGAATGTTGATTTGAAATAGTGATTGAATAATTCGGCTATAAAGGCATTTCTGCGTGGTCATAAGACGAGATGACGTTAATGAACAGCACTTCTTTTACAGGATATTTTACGTATGCGACTTAATGCTAAAAAGATTGGGCTCGAGTGCTTTTTTTTTCGAGTGCTCGAGTGCCTAATAGAGGTCAGGCGCTAATTGTAACTAATTCCCTCAAGTTTCAACGTGTTTTCAACAAAACAATACCCCGGCGATAATTATAGCTAAAATGTTACCGAGCAATTCACAATTTTATTTATGGAATTTGCAAATTCACCAGTTTCTTGACGATTTTGATGTTGCCCTAATTATTAGTGCAAAAAATACTCCCCTTCTTCCGCGGCGGTTTGACGGGTTCTTTGTTCCATTCTTCAGAAAGTTCTGACACGGGATATAGAATACTGAATCCGAATCCCTGTCCACTTACTGGTGATTTTCCGTTTTGAAATGCGTGAAACATCTCTATTTTAAATTAAATGACGTTTCGCGGGCTAGAGTTCTCCCCGAAAATGATGTGTTCCAGACGTTAGTTAGACGATAGATAAAACATTAATTAATAATTTTCGTGACGCCCGTTTTCGAAAATACAAAGTTATATCGCAAAAAATGCGTTATGATACATTTGGAATGAAACATTATTTACGGTGAATTTAGATCATATTTGCTACATTTTGTTACATTTAAAATAAAACATTTTTGCGATTAATTTAGATCATATTTTACTTTTCAGGACACCCGTTTTCGAAAATACAAGGTTATATCGCAAAATGTGTTTTGTTACATTTAAAATAAAACATTTTTGCGATTAATTTAGATCAAATTTTACCTTTCACGGCAACCCGTTTCCGAAAATACAAAGTTATATCACAAAAAATGCGTTTTGTTACATTTATTTTGCATTCCCAATAAAATACATATTTTCCCTAATTAAGGTCGTCGATGAATCTGTTCCTGTCGTTCAAGCTCGACACACGTTTGGACGAGTGTGGGGCGGTTTTTTGGTCGACGATAAATTAAAAAGTTGCCACACGTTATTTGTATAACGATAATAACTGAAAATTAAGATTTTATAATAGAAGTGAATTTGTCTCAAGATGGTATTTTACGATTCCTGCCCACAGAAAATAAACACGCTGACAGGCTTGGTTATAATTGATATTCGTTTAATTTATTTTACACTATTAATAAACGCGCCACACCAATTGCGACCATATAAATTGCAGTCGCATCGGTATGGACTGTATGTTTTTGGCGCTCTCACATTAATAATAATTTTCAACAAAACAATACCCCGACGGTCATTAAAGCTGAATTCGTTACCGAATAATTCACAATTTTATTTACGGAATTTGCAATTTCAAGATCTCACTTGACGATTTTGATGATGTCATGCCCTAATTATTACTGCTTAAATGCCTCAAAATACAACAAATGTAATCATTTTCGACGATAACAGGCGCAACAATTCGTAAACGAGCCGTTATAACGAAATTCGCGATTGATTTTACCTCTCTCTTGTTTACAATTTTAACATCCCGCCGGCCATGTATGGTCGAATAAAATGTTCACATATTCGAAACATGACTTGGCCAAGGATGGAAGGGATCACTAAAGAGCTAATAGAAAGTACATACGCGAGGGTATGATATTAATATCGAGAATATTTGTGAGCATATCACAGGACGGAAATATTTTGCACCCGGCTGTTTGTTGGCAGAACAACGATACGCTAAAGTTAATTGATCGAATACAGGGAAGTATTTATTTATCATCTCACTTGCGAACATCGAGGTTTTGGCGGAATTGTACGATCATGTTGTCTTTCTTAAATAATAACTTTTTCAATAAATGTTCATTTTACTTTTGCGTCTTTATTATATGTCGGTTTTCATTTATTTTAAATTCGAAATTGTCCGAAATACTCCAACAGGTGTATAAGTACAATAATAATAGTACTTACCAAAGTACACCAGGGAAGTTTAATACACACGATGTGTAAAGGGCGTCGTAACTCCCGTTTATTAATTATAAATTTTTTTACATTCTGCTTAAAAAACAACGGCAGTCATCTCACGTAACTCTCGCGACCAAATCTTTTTTGTTTTGTATGGCATCGTCTTGGCGACGAATTTATTGCCGACTGAATTTTAATTGTGTTTTAGGTAAGTTATTTTCTGTTTGTTGGTTTCTAAACTTTACAAACTTGGGTAGCAATTACTATTAATGTGAGATTTGTGCATATGAACGATTGAATATCGCGACTGGATGTCCGATATCTGAGAATGCGTAATTCTCTTTCAACATTAATTTTCAGGATATCAGCGTTCATGTGGTCGAATAAAAATTATTTATCAAATGGATTGGTATTTCGAGACACTCTCAAAATTATTTGGGATCCACTATCATATCATTCGTTTATTTTTTATATTCATGTTTTTCTCAAGAATCACCCTCGTTATATTTAGTGTACCTTCGCAAAAGAAAACTCTTTGGTGTCATCGTTCCTATTAGTGTAATTGAAATATATGGAAACCTCGCAAGTGGCGTTGTGATGCGAATATTTGATACTAGGTCAGCAGCATTACAAAGAGTGCTATTTATGAATGCTGAAAGTACATGACATTACTAAACATTTTGCCAATATATGATGTTTTCTGCCCGATTTAAACTAACTCGCACGCAAACCAAGGCATGTCGACATTTAAAAATTACTTGTCTTTGGGTAAGCTCTGAAATAGTATAATATAAATGTAAATGAGAAATTAGGTCACGCTAGCTCACGAAACGGGAGGATTTTCAAAGTGATCTTGTGTAATATTTCGGAGAAAAAAGTTTGAAAGGAAAGTAGGTCAACCTATCTCCTAAAACAGGGGAGTATCCTGCGTAATATTCCGGAGGGAACGTAGGTTAACCTATCTTTTAAAACAGCGGGTGGCGACTTTCAAAGTGGTTCAAAATCACAAATTAATAATTATCAGATTAGGTTTAGTGATAATCGAAAAGTTGAATTTCCAGCTCTATTATTTGCACCGGATTTGTACAAACGATCCACCCTGTAACTAATATGGTTTCCAGCCGCCTCGTGTCTGTTAGATGGAAGGAGTAACAAATGTGAAAGTCTTTGCTGTTTACGCGAGTAAGCAACTGACACCGTGATACATTGCATGAAAGTTTTGTCCGCGGCAGGTGTTAGCAGATGTCATTTCGTTGCCGATGAATTCGCTTGTTTTAATTAAACATGAATTCGCTTAAAGGGAACTCCGTTAACGAAAAGGCTTCTCTTTAATTCATAATATTAACCGGAGGAGCGCTTTTTCGAGTATCTATGCCGTTTTAAATGGGTTTTATGAAAGGCTAGGGCACCTAACTTGTTAAAATCGGCAAAAGCACTTTCGCACTTTTTTTTTGGACTGCGAAGCACTTTCGCACTCATAATTTGCTTAGAGTTAACACTGGTCTGAACTGAAGCAACACTCTTGATAAATCGCTTATAACCGATATATGGAACCTAAATTGTTGTTGAACGTGGATCATGATTTTTCAAGTTTTGTCTCATTCATTTTTGCATTTTTAAATAAACAGACATACACAACATCATTTTATATTTATGATTTCATGCATTTCAGTGAACTCCTTCATGTACATAACACGCTACACATTGCTGACTTCAATCTTGATTCCTATCCAGATATTCTCATGATAATGCAAAATAAAGAAGGAATCCGGAAAGCTGTTGTTTTCTATAATGATATGTGCAAGTATGTTTTTTACATTCTTTGAGAACTGAGAGTATGTGATAATCTTATCTCATTGGCACTTGTTTTTCTGTAGTTAGTCATTCATACACCCTTTCTAGTTATGCACAATGCCAATAATATGCTATGTAGTATATTTCAATAAGAATTTCAAGCTGACTTATTATGTAGAATAGTTATAATTTTTGAATAATTTGTTCTTGTGGACTGCAGGGCTACGTAAACGTTTGATTCATTTGAACATATAGCTTTTGTGGTAACTGGTATACATTGTCAAATACATATTTGAGATTATTTTTATTACCACAATTAGAAAAAAATGAGTGCTCAGGTTCAACATTTCATCTGGGTCGATTTGTAAGAGAGTACAATATGTACTTATATTAACTACACAAATGTGAATATACCAAGCAGAGATGAAGGACTGGGGGTGTACAACTCAGATGAAGATATGAGCCAACGTTTTTTAATTAATTTTATCCTGGGCCACTCCATGTTTGAATTATTGGTTATGACTCAACCAACCTGGTTAAAACCACCAGTTTATATAAACCAAGTTTCGTAAAACACATATCAACAAACTTCAATAAAACACATTCGATAAAGAGATGGTCAGTTGTCCACAAATCACATTGTTTTCTTTCGCCAAGAAGGGTTTTGCTCATTGCTACAATCCAGTTCGAGTATATCATGGAAGAATATTACTGAAACTGGAATAGGCCTATATTGCATATATTCTATATTCAGGCTTGTCTAGTATACAACATACATAAAAACTTGTATAGGTTATTAACAAATATTGAATTTTGGAGAGTAAAAAAGGTATATTTAACATAGTTTCGATTAGTTTACTATTTTTTATGAGTATTGGTTTTTGAAATTTCAATGCCTTGGGAGGGTTCTGTGTCCATATCCGAATACTAAACTATTCTAAAAAATAACACTGAAAAAACATTTCAAATTGAATTGACAGAGCCAAAACAATGCTGCATGTAATGCCATTATAAATTTTTCACAGAACAACCAACTGCACTGGCCCAGGAAGGCAGCTTGGTATATGGCTGGAAATGCCGAATTCAGATAACGCTGTTCTTTCTTCATTCTACGATTTCAACATGGATGGAACGTTGGATATTATTGTAACTACAAAAACAAATGATGATGATAAATACACTATGAAAGCCTATAAAAATATGATCGCTGATGATGTCACATTTCTAAGGGTTCAGGTTAGAGATCATTCATTTTTATAGAATTTTTTTTAGGATTTATAGAAAGGGGGGGGTCTCAAAATCAGATATTTCCATGCAACGGCTTACTTACGATCACATACTTACTCTTAAATACCACGACAATCTGCAGACATCAAAGTGTACGCGATTTCAATTGGATTCAATGCCTATTTTTGCAATCGTGTGAATTTGTTATTGTCGTAATATTCCATGGCTACGAGTATAATTTATTTTTAGTACAGTAAAAATTGATTGAACATACTTTACATTGATTAACTCATATATCGTCATAATTTGAGTTTCGAATTCACCCTTAGTTATCGTTAGCGTCTCGCCGCCAAAGCTCTCATAATACAGATTTTTTCACACTGGACGCACAGTCCTGGGTGGAAAAAAAATAAACAATTAATCAATGTCCTCGTGAAACAATATGTGCAGAGAAATATTTGTGAGATTGGGCTCACTTGCAAAAATATAGTTTACCGTCATAATATCGTTATTTACTGGCTAAAAAACACGTCAAGATGACGAAGACAATCGGCGATTTCAACAAAATCAATCGCACACAATAATAGCCTCCCTTTCTATACTCAAAACCTTTTACTTGGTATTGGTGGTACAAATTCGTGTCCTCCCGTAGAATGTGTACCACAGTACCAGTTTAAGGTTAGACCATAATTTTATACCGATATTTCTTATTTTAGTTTTATTACGAGTTCGTAGACTTTCTGTTTTAGCCAAGTGAATATACTCCCTGCCTATAGGCTTCCTTCCCTTTACACAACTTCATGTAAAGTAGGCGAACAAAATTAGTTACCTCCATGTTGGTACACATAGGCTACTTCTGGAGCGCCCAAATTTGGACATCCAATTCCACTGATTACTAACTAATGTGAAACTGAAAATTTTGTTTATTTTCTGAAGGTTCTCTCCGGCCATAACGATACAGCTGTGTATGGTGTGAATGTACCAGGACCATATATATTATATGAAACGACAAATACCATGGTAAGATGGTAATAGTATTTTTTTTTGCATGCTGGTGTACCTGTTGTTGGATATTATTTTGTATATACATTGAAAGTAGAAAATGTGATATTTTTCAATTTGTTAAATTTAAATAGGCCACTTGTTTTGTTGAATTTTCTATTAAATCAGCGATTCCCAACCTGTGGTACGCGTACTAACGACCACGGGAAGGTCTACAGATGTTATGCAAGTACATTCTGTTTTATTTTTTCCAATCTTAATTAATTGCGGTGCTTTTCTTTGAAGCGGTGGTGCTAAGAGGTATTTTTTGGTATTTCAGAGCAGGTATACTTTTATTTTTTGGTAAGTCCATGCCACCACGAAAGAAGTTGTACACAATTAAAATTTGTACATCAGGGTATTTTAAAGGCTCATATTGGTCACGGATTAAATACTTTGCACAAAAAAAGTCAGTATCTTTTGGCCCAATTTTTAGAAGCTGTTGCATGCATATTGAAATAAAAATATTATTTTGGAATGTATTCTAATTACTAATATATTCTGCTTTGGCTGCCTTTGGTTTAAACTCTGTGCAATTAACATGCAGGAAATCATGTGACATTCATATTTTTAACTTAATATAATGTTGTCACTCCTTTTCTATGCTTCATATACAACATATTAAAAATCTGCAATCATCTGTTTTATATTCCAGGGAGGAGCACAGTGTGGTTCTCTTGGTCAAATGTCACAATCTTCCCATTTATCATTGCAATTACCCTACATTATATTTGGACTTGGTAGATTGGCAAATTTTGTTGATCAACTGATGGTTTCTGTTCCGGTTCCTTTGATTATTGATCCTGATGATCCTGTTATAACTCATGTTGATAACAATGATGGTTCAGATCCAGGTAGATGTTAACTCTTTATTTTAAACTATTGACCGGCTTAGGAAGATTTATATGAGGTTTGGGTGCAATACCAAGAGCGGAAAAATAAATACACTGTCCTCTAGCATTTCTTTCTATGTGAGATTCTGAACAATTATGTTTAGAAGCAGGGGGGTTGTAGCCCGAGGGTTGGAATCATCCCCTCCTGAATTAAAAATAATAAAAAAAATCTGTATACTACGTAGCAATTTTCGTAACTTAATAAAACGACCCTTAAAATACCTTTGAAAATCTACGTTTCCAGACCTGCTACCTGTTATGGTCTAACTTGACAGTTAAAAATTGCAGAACCCCCCATTTGAGAATTCAAATAAATAAAATTAAAAATAATAAAAAAAATCTGTATACTACGTAGCAATTTTCGTAACTTAATAAAACGACCCTTAAAATACCTTTGAAAATCTACGTTTCCAGACCTGCTACCTGTTATGGTCTAACTTGACAGTTAAAAATTGCAGAACCCCCCATTTGAGAATTCCTGGTTTTGCCCCTGTATAGAAGCATACACTTTGCAATAAGAAAATCGGTATGCAATGCTTGTGGTATCTTTTTGTTTCAGCATGGCTTAAACTGCATCAAGTTTTGCGGCATTTGTGACATTTGTAATTCATCACCATAAATCTATATAGTTTCAGCAGCCCAGTGATGAGGGTCTACTTCTCCGTACGCATGACCTTTTTTTGCACTGATTCTCTTAAAAAATCCATTAGAATTTCGGTCACAGGGTGCTTTAACATGTAATGGCAAATGTTATTAAAACACACCAGAAGCAAAACGTGGTAGTTATTTATTCATGCATATGGCCCATTATAAACAGTCGGATATATAGACAACTTTCTTCTAGATTTAGACTAGGGTAACTTTTTTAAGGAATGTTTATATGGATATTCTGATTCTGGGACCAATATTAAGTCGTTAGATGATGTCATATTCTTAGTGTGATTTTTTGTTAAACCAATGTCAGTTTGGATTTCTTATCGTCCGAAAACAATGTAGCTCACAATGTATCCGTTGATGCTTTTCCAGAAAGAGACACCCATCTTTACATTGTTTTGTCTTATACCTGTGTTTGTTTGGTTCCGGTAACTTCCAAGCTTTCTAATATTAAAATTAGCTTAACACAAAAATATAATCTGCTGAGCAGGGCTATTTTCTTTATTTTAGCAATAAAACCAAACACATCATTATCAACTGAAGATCCATTCACACCCAGGAATTATACATGGCCGATGTTGATCCCAAACTCACAATTATATGTGAATCCTTACCCACGATCTTCTCCCAACAGGTATGTCAAGTTTTTTTGCTGTGTGATGTATTAACTCTGAAGTCGATAAAAATCACACATAACTTGGAAGCTTTTTTTCCTTTCTGTCTTCTGAGAATACTTTTTCGATAAATTGTGTTTCAAGTTCCTTACAAATTTTGACTTTGATAATCAATCTTAGAAGTCGGAACTTTCGGCACTGAGCCCGATATATTCGATTTTTCCACTTTAGCTGCAACTCCAGAAAGATGTGCAACTGTGCAAATGTGCAACTGGCTTTGACACAATTTCAATAGTTTCCGCTAATTTTCTGTAATATTCCAATTATTTAATCGTCTCTAACAATCAACTTCTGCTTTTGTGTTTGTTATTGAATAAAGTGTAAGTTTGTGATTTTAGAATCTTGAGTTGGAATTGAATTTTCATGTTAATTATTTGGGGAGCTAAAGCTTACTCGTGTCCCAAACCACAGCCTGTTATATATACTGTATAGCATACTAGTATTTTTTTTTTACCTGAATATACTTATCCATATTTCTAATGCCCAGTGGCGCAGCCTTGTGGTGTCCCCTCTTTCGGAAGGACCGACAAATTCGCTGATGAGTCGGGCTAATATTGTTAAAATTGCCAATTGTTTTCGTCAGTGGGTCATATGAAGGTGACATATTCAGGCCGTTTGCAGTATACTATTGGACATGTGCCACGAGGCGCAAAATTTAATCAAATAAGTAATTCCGTAACTCAAATTGAAATTTCCGACCGAAAATAAGGGAGTGAATGTCGAGATTGGAAAGCGGTTTTATAATATAAAATACATATAGTATAACGAAAAACACCGGAAATTTTTTTTAATATGTCTGTAAACTATATTTCCGCTAATTTTTAGAATTCTCGGGATATGTGCCACGAGGACGTTGATAATTAGTGTGAAAAACTGGTTATTATGTGATCATCTGTGACGAGACGCTAAATATAATCAAAGGAGTGAATCCATAGTCCAAATTAAAATTAGAGACTGAAAATAAGGAAGTGAATGTCAAGACGGAAAATATGACGTAAAACACCATAAATTTTGTTTTAGAATCGGCACGACAAATCAATAACGCGCTATTTCAGACATTGTAAATCGCCAAATTTCGCACACATAGTCCTCTCGGTCGGAAACTATACCATGGTCGCTGAAGTTGAACAATTCGACTAACCATTTTTTGAATTACCATCGAGGGCCGGCACTCGATTTTTTCCTGGATTATGATGCTTTGACAATGTAACATTATGTTCAAATTTTTTTTAATATACTACAATAAATTGTACTCTGATATTTTATCGCTGACTTTTTTAACGGCGATCTTAAAAATAATCGGGCAGTCATTGTTGAAAGGACAGCTCAAATTTCACGAATCCTGTGATAGCAAAAAAATACGAATCAAATCTAATCGGGCAGTTTAACCACGTATTTTATGTACGCAGATTGCCGTAGTACTGCTCTTATTCCATCACAAGTCGGCTCAAGGCGGGGTTACGTTAAACACAATTGAATTAATATGGTAAGACAATATGAATGCTCTCATCGACCATGGATTGGATATTTTGCTCAACAGAAAAATCGAGGCGCAGTTCTTACCACTTCATGGCAGCTCCTGCCACGAACGTACCGCGGCGTCTCTACCGCCATGGTTTTATCGCGCTATTACCGGTATATTTACAAAGTCATGTACAATATTTTAGTTTATCATGCGAAATTATATCTACTTGAACCTAAACCTAACCCCAAATACATCAAAACTGTATTCATAAGAAAAACATTTCAACCTACCCAATATTTATCACCATCAGGAGCAGCCCTGCTATTACAGCCGACATGTGATTACGGCAGCAAAATTGGTGGTATTCCATTTGCGGCCGTAACCACGGCAGCTCGCTATTGGTTTGTGGCAGCTAAACAGTCAGTCGACGTGGGTTTGGTAATTGCGGCTATGGTTTGGTAATCCCGCCATGGTTTTGCGGCAGCTCTAGACGCCACAAAATACTTGAAACTGCACTCGGAAAAATCGTTATTCGTTGAAAAGTAGGCTATTTTAATGATCGGCGTAATCGCTGCAACTGTTTTAGAAGCAGTTGCACTGGAATTTCCGATTTTGAGACTCCCTTCGGAAAATCCTGGCTGCGCCCCTGATAATGACCATTTCCCGTTTAGTCATATTTGGGACCTCCAGAAGTATGTGCACCAAGATGGCGCACAACCTGAACATAGTATGTGTGTACCGGTTAGGATTCAGGTTGTGTGACATCTTGGCGCGCATACTTCTGTAGCAGCCATATTTGTCATCAATTTTTTGTAATTTATTTTTTTTCCTTATTTACAATATGGACTTCAATGTCATTAAGCCGCTCAATTGAAAGAGTCATTATGGATGGATATTTGTTGATATATATGACTCCATGACACTGTTTAATATTTGATGATTTATAAAAAGCTTCTGGCATTAGTGGTACCTTGTAGCGTTACTCTCTAGGGAGTTTCGTTACCATTTCAGTGAGTTCTCATGAACTCGCTTCACGATGCCGGTGTAGAAAGTCAAGGTTCCCGTTTTCCACGGCATAGCTAGGGTTGCCTCTGATTGATCGCTATTGTTTGATTCATTTGAAAAATAAATTCGTTGACAACTCTAATTTATCAAACTGAAATAAAGCCAGATGGCAGAGTTTAAATAAATAACATGGCCAGCGAAATGTCAGCAAAATTTTAGACAAATTTGAAAAACTTGTACCCAATGTCATATGAAGGTGTTTCGGCCTATTTTGAAAACTAACAAACTTTACGATAAAATATCAGGCCCGTAGGACTCTCAAACAAAAATAATAATAAAATAACTAGCATTTTTGATATTGAGATAGAAAAAGCGTTTTTTTTTTCAAATTCTCAACAATGACAACAATAAAGCACAACAATCCATAGATTGTGTCCAATTAATAAAAACTTTTTTAGGTGGAAAATCAAAGTATTGGTGACTCCAAGTCAAAGTGTGATAACAACTGCAATTGTTTTGTTGGGAACCTGCGGAGTTTTAGTTATTGCTACGCTTGTACTTCATTGGTTTGAGAGAAGAGAAGACAAACAAGAAAAAATTCAAGAATCTTACGGATTCCATTTTGACGCCATGTGAAAGTTATGTTCTAACGACATGAAAGTTGATTTTAGTTCTGTAACATCACTCCATAAATATTGATGATTGTGTCAGCTTCCAACATACCGAAAAGCAAAAAACTTGATTCAAGCCAAGGAGTGCCGCTTTGATAAACAGAGGCAGTGTCAAAGTATTCACATTTGTTAACGATGTTTTGTAAAATTTTCACATTTTAATGTATATTGGTCTTGGGATATTCAGACAACATAGTTAAAACTAAACTTGAATTAGATAATTATTTAGCTTTCAACATACCGAAAAGCAAAAAAAAAATTGATTCAAGCCAAGCAGTGCCGCTTTGATAAACTGAGAGACAGTCTCAAAGTATTCACATTCGTGAACGATATTTCGTAAAATTTTCACATTTTCATGTATATATATTGGTCTTGAAATATTCAGACAACATAGTTAAAACTAAACTTGAATTGGAAAATTATTTTGGTAATCAAATAATGAATATCAATTTCGAACGGGAAATTTAACGAGTTTCACAAGTCATGATTTGTACTTAGATTATAGGAGAGCAATTTGTCGAATATCACAAATTTTATATGTGTATTCCTCTTCTGAATTTTAGAACAATAGGACTTTGTATAAAAATTATTTGTTTGTATGGACATATACAGTTTTGAAAATTGTTAACTTAGTTCAATTTTTACTTAATCTGATATTTGCACATTTAGGTATAGTTACGTACGTCTTGTCATGATGATATGCTGAAATCAGTAGAAATTTTTGTAAATGAGAAAAATTGTACTTTTATTTTGCAAACTTTGTTGAACTCAGGGCTGGGAAGCTGGAGCCATGGAGCTCTGACTTTTTGGTGGAGCTGAAACCAAGCTTACCATGTTGGACGGAGCTGAAGTTGGAGCTACCAGAAATTTGAGTGGCTCCAGCTCCTAACCATATAATTATTTTGTAATATTTATAATTTTTTAATACTTCAAGCGAATAATAAAATCCATCCTTTTGAGCTCATACATTTTCGATTCGTAATAATAATTTAAAAGTCTAGTGTCAAATTTATATATTTAAAATTTAATTCTGAAATTATATTATCATAGTTTCGAGTCCATATTCCACGAAACTGCACTTGGGCAGGTATTTCATGGCATTGGTCAAATATAAAGACCTCCATGAAAAAGAGCCGAAGACCATCTCCGACGTAAAAAATGAAGCGTTGGAGCCACATTCGAATTCACTGCGACTCGGGGACCACTGTGATTTCGGACCATCTCCCCAGCCCTGGTTGAACTGCTTGAAAGTTTCATCACTGTGTTAATATTTAGAATTTTACGATTACAATCATTTGTCTTGAATATATAAGCTTTTGTGCAATAAAATGATTGTATATCTTACTTTTATTTAGTAGAATATTAAGACTCATTCAATCGCATTAAATGCATTGCCGGGATCGAAAATTTTAAGAACGGGTCAACTCACTGACAACAGGTTCCTTCATTTCTAAAAATCTATGTATTCCACGACGTAAACCACATATAACACGCTTTCGTAAATCGCATACAAAGCTTTGGAAATAAAATATAACGCGTGTGGTCAAAGGGCGCAACCAAGATTTTTACTGATAAGTAAAATATACAATCCTTGGCCGTTAGCAGCATTTAAAGCAGTGCTTATTAAACTTTTTAATCCGTGCCCTCTTTTTAGAATTTGTCAAGTCTAGCGCCCCACCTCTAAAATAACTAGCTGCAAATAACAGATAGTAAGGTGAAAGTATGTTTTATTCGAAAAACATGTTGGAAATACGTGGACGGAACGTAAATATCCAAAATAAAGAAATATAAAATAAATATCCAAAATAAGGCGGACAAGATCAAATCTAACATATATTTTAATTAGTTTCACGCCCCCTAAAATAATTGTCTGCGCCCCACCGTTTGAGAACCGCTGATTACTTATCGATTTTAATCGGTAAGTATGTTGATAGGTATCTGTATGTCTGTTAGATGCACGCGATGTCTCACGAAAGCGAGATTGAATCTGCTCCATATTTTGCATGTGCATTCATCATATGTCGGACCAGAAGAAGCCTATTGATTTTGGATGAATTATGTCGTATAATTAGCGAGTTATTGATTAATTAGTGATGGGACACAAGGTGGAGTAACTTAGAGTAAGAGCGCTTTTTTGGGGATCCCCTAACTTTTGATCGATAAGTCTTCGGTCTCTGACCTATATTCTCGTTTAAAGTCTTGCCATGTTAATTTGATTGTGTTCAACGTAACTCCATTTTGCGCCGCCTAGCGATAAAGTAAAAACTACGACAATATATAAACGTGGTACACAATCAGATTTGAGGTCTTGGTAATTCGTCTGTTCTTTCAACAACGACCGCCATTCATTCAATTATTTCTAAGATATTGCCGTTAAAAAAATCCCAAGGTCGACGATAAAATCCCAAACTGTATAAGTTATTTTAGTACAATAAATATTTATTGAGCATACTTTACGTTGATTAGCATTATGTAAAATCATAATCCTGGAAAAAAGGACGAGTGCGGCCGCGACGGTAACTAAGAATGAATAAATGAATGGTTCAACTTTAATGATTATTGTAAAGTGTGCGAATAAGCGCGCCACTGGATGTTCAGACATCATTATTTTCCATGGCGCGGTAGAGAAGCGCTTAATATGGTATTTGTTCGGGCCGGTTATAGAAGAAGCAATTGAATTTCAACAGCCTGTGGTGTGCCACGTATTTGTTTTCGTCAGTAAAGTTTCACTTTTGCTCGCGTTTTTCCTAATCTATTTTCAGAGGCAAACAGGAGAACCGCCATCTCCTATCACTCGAACTTTGCCACGATCCATTACCGCCATTTTGTTGAATATTATATATAATTATAAAGATTGGATATTAGCGTATACAAATACAATAGATTACTAGCGTCATCTTCCGTACATAAATAAGGAGGGTTAAATCAAAATAATAATAAATACGACAAGCATTATCATTATCGATAAATGATAATATTGTAATTACTGATAGTATTTGATAATTGATATGGTATTTACTTGGGAGATGTGAATGAAGGAGTGGGATTGTTTTTTTTACTTATTATCCTAAAAGGTATATTATCCTAAATGTCTCTCGCCTTTTCTTTATTTTATTATATCTCATTCTTCTAGTGTGTATGAATTATAATTTTTCCTCCCACTTTTTTATTTAAAAGATTTAAACCTTACTTGCGGTTTCGTTTGCTCCGCTGATTTTATAATATTTTTTTTTACTAATTATTTTATTGCCTGTAATGCTGATTATAGAGTCGAAATGAAATTCTACTCATTATGTTCAGTATACATGGTATTTATCTCTATCATTTTTCTGACGCATTTTTGTATTTGGCGTGTTAAAATACAAAATATAACTATTTCAATACCGCTTTTGGTTACATAAAAAACAACTTGAAACAAGTTTTAAAAATATGTAGTGTTTTTCAATCTTTTTAAACTTCTCAAAAAGACAAAAAACAGTATCTATATATATATGTATATGCAGTTATTTCTATTTAGTAAGTGCTAACAACTTAAGCAGTCTGTAGTAAATTATTGTTGTAACAAACGTTGAAAAGAGTCAGAAGAATCAATTGCGCAATCAATTTTTTTTTTTCAAAACAAAACATGACAAGCATCAAGATGGCACACAATCTGAACACAGTATGTGTACCAGGTTGGGGTCCAGGTTGTGCGACATCTTGGTGCACATACTTCGGGAGCGCCATATTTAACAATATTATGCAACAACCAAAAGCAAATTTAATATCTGAGTACGAATTAATCACCAGTTGATGGCGTATGTTAAATATATTTATCTTCGAATCAAAGTTGCGATTGATAGTTATAAACTGATCGACGTGGTAAATATTTTTATGTTTCTAGCTAACTATTAGCTACGTACAGCTCTCAGTGTAAAGACCTTCAATATTTAGGTAATCAATAGGCCACCTGGTACAGTTTAAGCTCAACCAATAATTTTTGTTCGACATCTACATGCTGATGCACATGCAATTATTTTGTTCCGAGCAAAACTAATATGTTACTTACTTGCATATGCTATCATTTTTCACAAACTTGATCACATCATCAAAATCGCTGATTGTTTTATCTTCATAAATCAATCCAGTCTGATCCGTTTCTGATAGGAAATCTGTTTTTTATTCTGTATCGTCTATTGACCCACAAGACGCATTGTTGACAATCTTAACCCCCCGAGGAAGTTTAAACTCTGAACATTCGATTTTTGGAATGATATTTAAACTGGTATCACTTGTGTTAGCAATGTATTCAGGTATAAGCTAATAACATCGAATAACAAAGAAATCTATTTGTAGAAAAACAACCAACCTGGTATCTCGACTGTTTGAATTTTGTGAAAAGCACCATTATATTTATGTACACATCGTTGTGCTTCCACAAGAACGGGAGATTCCGACATAAAGTTTGGTAAATTGGCAATCCAGCAATCTACCGTATCATGAGAGTTGTAAAATACAAGAACAAGTTGTGCTTAAATATACCAATGAAAATATCCGTAACCCATTCAAACGTCAACCTTTTTTCTCTCGTGACCCACTTCCGTTGCACGAAAAATTCTGTGGCCCATTAACTTTCTCATGCACAGGAAAAACTCAAAAAAATTCATTACACAAGATTAGACACTTCCATTTTCATAATGAATATAAAATTACCGTTTAGTAGCTTAGTACAGTATTAACAATCATTGCTACTACAATCAAAGTTTAACTAATTTATCAATAACTCTTGTAATTTTTAATATGTTTATGGATAATAGACCCACCTGAAAATGTTTCCGTGTCTTTGCAGTGGACCAGTTAAATGCAACCAAACAACAACTGTACCACATTAAAACAGTCGCTAGACTAAAGTCAGAACAATTTCGATGGCTATTCATATTGAAGTTTGAGAATATGCTCTTGGATTCAAAAGATATTATTATGAACTCAAACTTGAGATTTGAATATCCAATCAGGAGTCAGCCAAATGTAGAACGACAAATTACTTTTGGGCGTTTTTAAATTTAAATTCAGCCTTTGACGCAAAGTCTCTTGGACAATCGTAAGTTCATTGTGACGTAGATCGAAAAGTTTAATTTGTAATTGATGGTGTGGAGAAGTAGAAGTTTCCAATGGCCTTCTGACCTATCAATATCTCAGGGATCTAGTATGTCACAATGAAATGATTTACATTACCGATTTCACGACATTTTGAGATTACTATATTTTCTTTGTTGAATTTAAAGGCACAATATTGCTGAAAAATATATGATTCACATTGCTTAGCTACTCGCACTCAATATTGCATATCACACTTAAAATCTTAATGCACCAGGGAAAAATAATTTGGAGTGTAATATACATTTTGGTCGTTCAAATAACAATTTTATTTCAACGGGACAATTAATAATTTCTCGTTCCATAATATCGCCAGGCGACCTTTTTAGAAGAATCCTATGAATTAATTATCTTATATTACAACTGGAAATACCATAGAATTTGGAAAACTTGGCTATTGTGGCGTTACTACGGCCAACAATTTTATTTTATGCAATAAGGATAGATTTTGATAGAATATTTTTGGACACGTCAGTGGACATAACGATCGTTTTGCATTTTCTGCTGGCACTCTTCTTCTTGTTGTTGTTATTTTTTGTTATCATTACAAAATCGCTTTTCTATTCGAATACTGGAACAATTGCTCTGAAAATTTCAGTGGTTAAATATTGATTTTTTTGTCAGAAGGCTATTTTTTTTTATTTATTTCAAAAATTTCTGTGAACTTCAAGAGATTCGTTTTTCGTGTGTCAGAATAAAAAAATAGCGACACCTTGTGGCGATTCCGCGGAGTCATATCAGCTGAGAACCGGACGAAATTCTCGCTTCGCTAAGATTTGTTTGTGAGGAACATGTACATTTTCATTTTATTCGCTTGTTTCCCAACATAAATACTCGGTTTTCTAGGCTTCTGAAATTAAGATTTTAGGAATTTAATTAAAACAAGAGAGCTATGCTCAAATTTATGGACATGTAATTCACAAGTAATGCGCCTGTGCCAGGGTTACGATACAAGGACTGTCCAACCTACTGTGCTGTGACGTTGATCCATTCTTCACGATTCAATTTCAACGTGAATTGACATACCAACTGATCCGAGTAACTTCTACCCCATAAAAACTTCCCATTTCCGCTATAAGACAACCGCAGCAAATGGTAATTTGCGTCGCAGCTGATGACGCCCAGCGTTATATATTACGATGCGAAAGTTATGTTTTACATTTATTATATAAATTAGATTTATATAAAGTGTCTGCCATAATTATGTAGGCATTCTGAAATGAGGGAACCTGTTGTTAACGACTTTGATACACTGCACAAAAGAAATTGTCATACAAAATATAGTCGGCATGCACAAATATATTTGCACAAGGTATCCATGGGCAGTACTAAGTATCTAGCCTTTCTGGTGGTAAAAATAATAATGGATGAAAATGTATTTGTATATGTGAAGCATGAAATATGTAAATCGCGTAAATTGGCCTCATAAATCAACTACTTTTCAAGACCATGGGAAGATTGAGGAACTATTTTCCTTATAGGGTCCTGTCAATACGCATTTGAGTTTCAAATTATCTATACCAATGTCTTATAACCATGACTCGACCTTTTCCAATCGATGCTTTTTATAGAACACTCATCTTTTAGAAATGCTGAAGTCTTTTTTTTTCTCTTCGGTATATGGGTGAGGCTAACGTTAAGGTTATATTAACCCTTATATTAACCTTCCAAGTTGGAATTATACATGAAATAAAACATAACTGTGGTATAGGATTTGTAGGTTGTAAACCTGTCAGTTGGGAGAAGTCCTGTTAAATGCGAGCATATTACGCTTTATTGAAGATTTGTCGATTCATCCTATTTTCCGTCTTTGAATGTTGTGTAAACTTTCAGTGTCATTTTAAATGTTGTTTATAGTACTACTTTGTCATTGATTCCGTGTGGGAGAAATAATAATAAAAATCCTATTTTGTAAAATTGAACGGAAGTGGTAACTTATTATATATACCGCACGTCGTACCTTGTTTGCCGCATTGTCGCACTGCGGGTGAACCAGTAGTTTGAAGTAAAATGTTTAATTTCAACAATTTACTTTTAGCATTTCAACTTTTAGTATCTTTAAAATCCGTTCACGGTAAGTAATCAGTAAAGCGACCAAGTACAATAATGAGATAAAAAAATTATCAATAAGTTCAAATAGCCACATTGCCTAATTGCCTCTAATCTTGGTTTTCACATTGCAGCCGGCTACGAGTGGAGATTCTATTCAAGTCGCGTGACTTGGGATGGAGCAAGTGCATCCTGTCAAAATATGGGATTCAATCTTGTGAACTCCGATGAAGCACTAAGTGCCTTGCGGTCTAACTTAGGGCGGTAGAATATTGTTTTAATTTTTTTGTCACGTTATATAAGGTTTTATTCCTTTTACCGATCGAATGTGTAATGTCGCACTTCTACCTAAACACGGTTTTATATAGGAGGCAGAGGTTCTGTGTTTTTGGTATAGCCTACCAACTTATTACACCCGCGTGGTGGATGTCCTGTCAAAAATGGTATGTGAAAATAACGATACCATTCAATATCAATATTACCATCCTAGCAGTATATATCAAAAGAAACTTGTGAAATATCTAACTGATTTGGTCCAATGATAACTCTTTGTTGGGTCCATCCCATATTTTAATCTATATTGCATTGCACTGTAGTACGTCCATCAATGAGCTGTGGATAGGATTATATGAGCTGTCACGCGGAGGAACATGGAAATGGTTGGGCGGGTCATATGCATATGGTATTCCGTGGTTAGTTATTAGATTTTTGTTAATTATTCAATTTTACTTTTAGTATATTTTTATTGCACTACACTACAAGATCTATTGCCAATCTTGTCACTAGCAAACCTTTTATCTCGCATTAAGAATTTCAACGTAGACCAATTAAAATGGTAACTAACTGCTTTATACAGTCGGTAAAAAATAATCCGAAGCGATGTACATCCCGGACAGCCAACAATAGTTCGCGAATATTGCATTAACACAGCCGGGTATTATAATTTCTATATGTTAAGTTACGTATTCAAGTATGCAGTTTTAAACGCATATATATATTAATGTAATGCAGAACTAATGAGGAACTTAAGGAAGATTTTGGAATACTTTTTTTGAGAATGAATATTCACGCTATATAAGAATAGTTGCGCGCAAAAGTTATGATTTTAATTGCATTGCTACGAAAACAAAAAATTACCAAAACCCTATTTGATTCAATATTTTATGTAGGGAACCTGGTCAACCAGACAATGGAGGATGGCCGAATTTTGGGGGTAATGAAGACTATGCAATTATAAGAAAAAAGGATGGCCTGATAGATGACAAACTTCGGAATTCAAAATTTGGCTATGTCTGCCAAAGGAAATGTACGTGTTTCTGAGTGAGAAGATTGATTTTGCATTAAAAATTTGAATAAGAATTTTGTTTAGGGCTGTAGAAGAAATTGTTGATCTTTTGTACAAAGTCTTCGCCATGGCAATTCGAATTTTTAAACTAAACTGAATAATTATTAATTTGATTATTTTGAGACTTGGTGGGGGCTTTGAATAATAATAATAATAAAATTATTACTCGAGAAAGGCAGAGCGAACTGTGATAGTCGTTGAATAAGTCCTAATTGATATTTTTCTCAGGGTGGATTGGAACAACAATTTCTATAAAACAAACTTCCAATTCCGTCGTTTGTCAACTGTCTGGTTATCCAACTCCAGACGTCCTCTGGTATTACAGAAACCATAAAATTACTTTCACATCATCCTCTCGAGTGTATCAAAGTCAAGGCACAGGTCAATCAAGTTTATACTTATCCAATACAAACTTACTAAACGAAGGAGTGTACAATTGCATTGCTAAAAACACTGTAGGAACGAGATCTGGACAAGCCGTTGTGAGAGGTACATCAACTTTTTCCGAATATAAAATTTTCATTTTTTTCTGTTTTAAAAAATGTATCGTTATTGAATGATACTTGAGAGATTCAGTAAATATTATTATTGCTAATAGGGGGTTCCCTATCGCTTTGTCCACAGAGTTGTACTTTACCCATATTTTTTTTGACTTTTGTTTTGACATTTTCTACGAGTTGACGAGTGTAAACTTGTTCGTATCTTTTTAATTCTAATGGTTCGAGCAGCAGCCATTGAAAAGTATTGAATGTTACTTTTCGTTTTTTTATACTGCAATTGATCTAAACTCGTTAACAGACAAAATGAAGATAGTTATTTGAGTTATACTTATATTTAAGAAAATACCAAACATTAAACTCACAATTAACACCCAAAGGGGCTCAGAAAACGAGTCAATGTTAATAACCAAATTTGAAAGTGCGTATATTTATGCAATAAATTTACGAGCGTCTGATAAAATTTCGAATGTTTTTTTTTTTAATGTTAGATCACAAATGACCTATTTTAATTAGATATTTTTACTGAAATAAGAAATTATCATATATTTGAGGACGAAGGTTGCCAATCGGTATTTACGGCCACGTATGAGAGCACCGATTTTGCTGGTAAAATTGGTTGACCAACAATATGGGGGTGGTCTAGCAGTATGAAATCAAAACGTTTCTCTTCAGTTAAATTGAAACGTCAAAATTTTTGATGAAATATCAAAATTTGAAAAAAAGGGGAGATTGTATTAAAGTAATAGCCTTTTTGCTAATTCTACCATCTCTGGGCAATAAAAATTTAAAACTGATACGATCACGAAATAACAACAAGAAATTTGCAAAACGGTCCGTAGTTAGGTGTAAAATTAATTATCATAGGGTGCCAATTGTCATGAAGATGGCCAACTGTACAAAAGGCATAATTTATGTGTTCAGTAAACAAAATAGTGAATGTTTGGCAAAACATCCTTTAGCGATAATATTTAATTTATTAGTTTATGCATATATACTGGCAAACAATAAATTTATTAAAACTAGGCAGGTGATTAGTAGTCAATGTTTGGAAAATCAGCGGCGATGCTGGCTGTTGAAGGACATTAAACTTTGTTAATATTTTATTGTAAATATTTTTGTGAGTAATATTGCCATTATAAACTAGTACCAAGTCGACCAACAATTTTATCAAGAACATCATTACCATGCGAGTCTACATTAATCATCAAGTGGAGATCTCATCCGAAAGCTATTGGGTTAAGACACAAGTGAGTACATTCGTATAGTTGACTAATTCGCCGATATTATTACGTTTTATGCACACGTTTGGTTGAAGGTTTTGGTATTACATGGGTATTATTTAAAATGTGAAACGTACATATACAGTTTTAATCGATTTTATCTACTGTTTGATATTTTTTACACGTCGTGATTCGGTTTTTTCATTTATATATTTTTTAAGGTAGACTCACGTTTAAAAATACTTTCTGCGATGAAACCTATTTGTTGAATGTTTTCAAAAAATATATATAAATAGCCATTTCAATAATAGAAATCATAATATTTTCATTTTTTCAATTGGATCTACACTTTCTTGATTTTAGAATCATTTTGAAAATCAGTCCACGATACATTATAGTTAAAGAAAAGTACGTTTATGCAAATGGAAATGTTAATATCGAATTCAAAGATTTGATTCCATCAACATTTTACAGATTGGAGGTAAATATTTTTGTTGCATGCTTTAACAACAACTGCCAATTTTTAATCAATCTGCAATAACTCTAGATCTTTCCATGTCCACTTGATTGTTACTCGTCATATACTGCAGTAAGCCCTGGTTTAAAAACAAAAGGATTGCCTGGACCTGTTTCAAACCCCTCCATTGACACTTACAAAGGATTTTGCAAAGTTTCTTGGTCGTTTCCATTGGAAAATCAGCATTCCGATATTATTGGGTTTAAGGTAAATTTTTGTAAATTTTTTTATCTTAATTCTGTAAAAATACCCTTTGTGATATCGGCAATCTTATAATCCAACACCCATTATCTCAGATTAATCGGCCTTTAAATTAAATGAAATCTGTTATGTTAAACATACAAATAACCGATCCGGTAGACCTGATTAATGAGCAAAACACAATTCTATCCCAGACTATATTTTAGCTTCATTGTGAATGTAACGACATGTCATGCAATTAATTTTACTACTTCAATTTTACAGATTAATGTTTCGAGTTCATTGGCGAAAGTGCCGTTTTTCGGATATTCATTACCATCAAACACATTTGAATATTTATTAGATAATTATACAAATCAGACCTTCCAATTTCCAAATATTCCTAATAGAAAATACTATGTGACCATACAAGCTAAAACATGCGCTGGATACGGAGAATTTAAAGTGCCTGACGGAGAATGTGTCACTCATACAAAAGGTAATTAAAACCTTTTGCACAATTGTGCAAGTTATTACTCCACCAGTGGTTTAAACGAGGTCACGTAACCTGCAAGCTTTTATTATTTACTTAGAGTCTGTATCATTATATGCACATATTGTTTTGTCAGTTGAAGCTTCACTCTTATATATATAAGTAGGCAATTCGAGTATTGAACATAAGTTCCTCAAGTCTTTGAAGTGTTTCATTGGGGTTTCGCTTTACCAAAAAGATTGAAAACCACTGAACAAAACTGTAGCATTATGTCGGCCAATTTCAAAACTAACTATAAACAGATGAAATTGCACATCCACTAGTAATAGCAATTGTACCAAAATGTTGCAATCCTATCTTCATTTCCCCGGTTGATGTTTGTCTATTCCAATGTAAATTTTGTACAGCACCAGAATTTATTGACCAGCCGACGACAAATGACGGCATTTTTGACAACGGTCATCTCGCAATTAATGTGAAAATACCTGATGAAGGCAATGGACCAATCAGGTATGTTTTTTTTTTGTAAAATGACTTGAAGGTTTTTTGTGGAAATAATATTATTATAAACAATTAAATACTTTTAGCCAAGTTGTGCCCAATGTGATTGTAAGTGAAAATAAACTTTCTTGTAATATGATATCTACAAGGTACATGAATTCATATTATGTGTATATTTTTAGCAATATTCAGCCGTATATTTAATGTTGTAGGAATGAAAAAAGCTTCGAATGTTTCAACTTTTCGAAAAGAACTTGAAAAATAATAATCGTATCAAAAAACGATTCAATGTATTCAATGTGTATATTTCCAGCTGTATATTCGTTGTTGTAAGGCGGACAAACATTTCAAATGTTTCTGCAATTTTATACGGTAAACAACGACTGATAAATGCTAGTGTTGGCGACACAGTACCGGAATCAGAATATATTGCACTTTCTCTCAACAGGACACGATACTTCCAGAACAGAACAAAGCAAGTCTACGTTACTACAAATTAAAATATTCTCAGCGTCGAAAATTCTTGTATATCCTCAATCAGAATATGGGCATTTGCCAAAAAGTTGTTTATAATAACAAGTAATGACTCGACACCGATGTTAATACACGTGCTGATGTATTAGGAATGGTGTTTATTGTAAGAGCGACTGAGCGTGGTTTTGTGATGAAAATATGAATGTGTGTTTTGTGTTTTGATTACAATACGTGAGTAGGAGGAGTTCAATACTGTATACCGATGTAGAATGCTGTAGGTTGTTTTGTCAACACAATTCCTCAAGGTTGTTTTGTGTACTCTATATTCAATAATCAGTTTGATGTGTAAATGAGGTTATGAAATTTTATCCGAGTCACGGCTTTATTATTAGCGTTATTGATTCAATCTTGTCCACGTATATTTGAAAATGTTTGACTCTCACTCAGAATAACAATGCCAACCGAGAAAAAACGCCACACGCATAAATTTTTCGTCAACCCTTTCCGGTAAAATTTAAGCTCCACGAAAACATAGTTATCTCATCTTCAACATAAATGAGTCATATATTTTATTATGAAACTACCTGTAAACATTTTGTTAAATGAAATATATTCCGTGAATATGGCTGAGTTTGAATATAGAGATCCCTAACCCCCACAAAAAATGTTAATTGGGCTCTTATACGCTCTTAGTTTCTTTAAAAAATATTTTTAAAAATTAAATGAACCTTCTCCATTCAGTTATAAGTCTGGGAATGTCACTCTTACACTTGGAACAAAGTCTCTCACGACATGTTATTTGCACGGGGATTTAAAACACAGGAAAAATATATCAAACGAGTCTTACTTCGATCTACCAATGAAACTCAGAGGATACAACATGAAACTGAGCACAAAGAAATCATACATGTAAGTAACTCAAATTTATACATGTAAGTGTCGCAATTTTTTATTCATATTTTTTCCGAATGTCCGCATCGAAAGTTCAAAAATTCGTTTTATAATGGAAAAAAGGTGAACTCAATCAAATGTTAAAACAAACAGTAACGAAATCATATTAACGCCATATAGTGGCCCCAAAAATAAGGATGTCAACGTGTACTGACCATATTATTCGTTAAACTTTAACTATCAATGTACGGCAATAATAATACCTTGCAGCATCTTCAATTTATTAATATTGCTTTGACCCAAAATACTGTTTGCTGGGCAATAATATTCGTTAGAACAAATTCTTTGTGGCAGAATTCATATCGTCTCCGCAACTCCAACAACGAATAGAGTGTTGTTTCAAGTCAGTGATGGTTTATTGCTTGAGAAAGAACCAGACCCACCAGGTAAAAACTAATAGAATAATTTTTTTTGTTTAATAAAAATGGAAATTGATTACAACAAGTTAGTCAGTTAATACAACCGTTTGTGCTTAAGTCCAAGGCGCCGACTGCACTGCCAGGCATATATTGAATGTTTAATGTTTATTATGGTTCCATTGTCGTCTATTCTTTTTTGATACGAAGTGAATATGTGTATTGTTCCGATAAAATATTTTTGCTGTTTTGGAGTGATCGTAGTCGATAATTTTTTTTTCGCAACTAAGACAGGTTCATTCAAAATGTACATCACCCAAAGGTGGTTGAAGGCGCTTGGAGACAAAACCTTAAATTTATCTTTCAAATTTAAGTCCGATGATCCGAAATTTTGCGGATATATGCTAATTTGCTGGGCGGTATGGCACATCGTGCTAAGCGTTAGAAATACGCTTGCCACCGCACCTCTGATTACCCCGCGTGGGTCTGCGGGTTCGAATTCCTCGTGAGATGATTATGTGCAAGAGGATTGTTGAACTCCTTGTCGCCGTAGTGCGGCGCATATTAACTAATTACACACTATACAAAAACTGGTATGGAACGAAATCCGCCATATGATTAAGCCGATTTATAGGCTTTTATCCCCGTGTGAAATACGTAAAATCTATTCTAATTCATGGGGAACACTCTATAAGAAATATGGGATACTTTATTTCGTTACGCTTGTCCGATCTTTTCAGTAAACTCGGCGCTCTGCTAAGGCCTTACCATGACGGAATCGCAATCTTCTTGTCCATATATTATAGAAGTGCTACCTTGTTTTATCTTTTTTGTTTTTGTAACTTTTTTGTTGAGCTGTTTTATAAAACTTGATTTTTAGTTGTTTTTTTGAAGTTTGCAATGTCGTGTTTAGGTTACTAATGCTTATTCACTTATTTATTATTATAAACTCGGCCGGTATTTTTATTATTGTTTACTTATATTAATTTTAACTAATCAAGAAATGTTTAATTTAATTTTATTTCAGAGCAATTTCCCGTCTTTGCCATATTGCTTTTAGTAATTTGGATTATAGTCATACTGGTTGCATGCGGTACAATTGTATCTTGCGTGAAAAGAAAAAAGGAGGAAAAGAATGAAGAGCAACAAAAAAATACCATTTCAACAATATCGTATAGTGCAAAACTAAACAAGTCCGGTATGATTTGAGTTAGAAATAGTCCATTTTAAAAATCTTTTCACATAATTTAGTATTCCGTATAAAAAAGATAGCATCGTGACGGTATAACGGAATAAAATTTATTTTTGTTTTATTTTTTTAATTAAGACGTATTTATGAAAGTGATAAAATATATATTTACCTAACGTAGGAAAAAAGACAACTAATCAGTAATCACATATTTTTTCCTATTAGAGTCTCTAAATTTTTTGTTTACATTCAGCTATAGAATCGTGCCATGGAAAATTGGAACCGTCGGAAGGAAGTGACCAGAAAGATAATATATACCATTCCTACGAACATATAAAGGATCCAGATCAATCATCCACGCGTAAGTACGAAGAAATACGCGGACCAGGAGGGGCATCTAATAGGAGTTATGAGTTTATAGAAAACGTAACAGGCGTAGAACTGAAATCAGTCGGAACTGGCGATCACCCATACGATATGATCACAGACATCGATAAACAACTGCAATGAGAATAAAATGAATGAAGCAAGAACATAATATGACCCAGTTAGTGCCATTTTACCTTCATTGCCAGGCATTCTGAACATTATCATATTTACTATTTTTAAAAACTTAACGTATATGTTATGCTTTTCTTCAAGATCTGAATATTAATAAAACATTATATGTATCGTATGGCTAAAATGGTAGGTGCACCCGATGGCCAAGTGAGGCATCGCAGGTGTCTACGTGTCAAATCCCCTGGCTTGTCCATGGGACATAATTTCTGTCCCATTCCCATACCATAGCGATCATGCCTGTCCCATCTCATCCCATCCCATGGGATTACCATTAAAATAAAATTCAATTAAAATTGTTAAATATAGAATTAGCGTCCACTAAATAGGACTACTAAATGTACGAAGAGACACGCAAAACAACAAAATTTACGGACTTTGTTAACTTTATATTCATAACTATTATACACGTGTTCATCAGCCCATGCACAAAGTATATTTCCAATGCTAAATATATTTTGCTCTTTATAACTAACAAGAGAGCAATGCTCTAATATATGGACACGAAGTCCATAACGAAATATTGTACCAACGGAATGATTTTAACGAAATACGAATGTGTGCTGTCCCATCCCACCCCATGGGAAGTTTCCCATGGACAAGCCTGCAGAACTAATACCTACCACCTTACCTAGGTTGAAATAGGTTGGTTAGGCATTATTGAACCGGAAAGATTCCGCCCTTACAAAATATCGGAGCTCTTTAATAGCATTGGAAAATTGTGTAGAGCATTGTTCAAAACGAAATCTTTAAAATTCTTCTTAAATCTTTTGCTAAAATTACTACAACCATTTATATATTCACCACTCAACATGTTTTTTTCCGATATCTTACATCACACGTTACATTGTCGGTTCATTATAAACTGACTCATTATCCACAGTCAAAACTCAGGATCCCAACCGTTTATATCGGCAAAGTGAGCACGTAATTGCACTAGGACCGTCTTATTGATTCAAAAGTAATATTTTTGCCTCGGTTAGCATATAGGAAGATTTTATTGGGAATTTATGAAAAACTCAATGAGACGTCAAAATTCTACAGTTTGAGCGAACTTACGTTCTTGCGAATATGTTTTGAGATGAATTGTTTAGATTTTTAGAAACTTGAACATTCTATACTTCGATCCTAACATTGTACCATACAAGCAGAAACTTGGTCGGGAGCATCGCGAATCCCAATGATGTGAAATAGTGCTGCTGCTAGCTGCTATCCGTCCCAATCCAACATCGATGTCGTTTTATAGCGCTTAACGTCAGCCCTTCACTGACTGCGTGATGATGAGCAAGTACGGATGGCACGAATCTAAATTTTAAATGTACAATTGATCACATCTCGTTTTATTTACTATTTAAAAGCCAATGGGGCGGCCGTTATAATCAATTCCCCGAATACAATCACTGAGCCCTGTGTATATACATGTACACAACATTTTTGGCAAATAAACAACTTGAATACATAACTATTGTTTGAAGCAGCATCAAGGGGAGGGGATAGCCCCTCAAGTCCGAAAACAATATATACTCGTATATAAATATAACTTTGGGTGTATATTATTTTAAGCAGCGAGGGGTTAGTCTCTCAAATAAGAAACAAATTTAGCAAATGAGCAAATATTTCATAAATGAATAGCAAGGAGTCAAATGAGCAAATAAGATGCTTGAGCAGGCCAGTGGTACGACCTCTGCTGCCCTCGCTTGGATCAAATAGAAATCTCCAGAATTTGAGTCATAACGTTCGGGAAAATAGACTGCACTGAAAACATCGGTTTTGAAAGTACATCTATACTGTTATACTGCTTGCCCTTAGATAAACAAAATTCTGGACAACAGTTTACGACTGTACCGACAACGAGAAGAACCTGCGTGCAATACCATACGTGGGGTGCTACGGAAACAATTGTACTGTTTGCAGTCATAGTGATCACGTTTCTTCAGCTTGCAGTCATTTCGTAATTGTGAATAGAGCTGACAGCAATGTGGCGCTTGCTTGAACATGATATACCTGCCGTCATATGCTCCTCTAAATCACCAGTGTTGAATTTTCAAGAGCACGGAGTGCCATTATTATGCATTCAGGCAAATAACTCTGTATTTATCCGAGTGAATTTGTTTCATCAAATTGTAAGAGGGGATATTGCTGGAATACGGCCTTTGGTTATACATTTAGCGTTATTATTTGTAGTTTCAAAGTACGTTATTTACACAAAAAAGCTTCAAAATCACGTACAATGACCAAACTTCTTGCTTAAACTATGTGCCATATAAGTTTCTTGGGGCTTCAGAAGTACGCGCACCAAGATGTCGCAAAGCCTGAATCCTGACCGGTACACACATACTATGTTCAGGCTGTGCGCCATCTTGGTGCGCATACTTCTGGAGGTCCAGTTTCTTTTTTTTTGTCTTACTTTTTGACAACTATACTTATTTTATTACTTGTTCAATTGCCAACACACTTTAAAATATTTTATTCAGAATGCTTATTACAATGAAGAATTGCGAGTCTGACAAACCATTCCTTTAGTTAATTAATATCCGGGAGATGTAGGCCTAGTTCATTTATTTTAATATTTTCTGAGAATAATATCTGAAATGTAGCAAGTAGCAACTTTCCAGTATGTTCACCTACGCTGCAAAAGCGATAGTGAATTCCACAATTTTTCAACATTTTATATATATATATCAGGACTTTGTGCCCAACAGTGCTTTATTTTTTTTCAGGGATATCGAAATCACGCCCAGTTCACCTATAACATGACCTATTAGAAAATTTCATCTGAAAGTAAGAAGAATTCTAGTACACGCATTTGTGCTAGCTAATTGCCATGTCGTAACTTTATTTAGGTAGCCGTGCACTTCGTCAAATCTGCATTTAAACTATAAAATACTATATAATTTTTTTCCGCTCTAAACAATGCCATATACAAGCAGTCACTGATGATACGCAAGATGCTATTTTTATTCGATACTGAATTGTTGTCTACAAAACTTGCTCAGTTCTCAATTCATTTCAGTTCTCAAATAATTTCAGCACGCTAACCACGAAAATAGTTCAGTAGATGGGCACGGAATGAGGTCATAATGGTTCACAAGTTAATCCATCTGATTTTAATTTTCGTCCTGTTGAACAACGACATTTTGGTTTTCCATATTCATCACATCCAAAATAAATTTCCGAACAGGATTGTCCCTGAGTGAGAGCAAAATACAAAATTGTTAGTTTTCGTTTGGCTAGGTAGTATACTGACATTATATTATATACTAAATTTTTAGTTGAGTTGTTAACAAATTATGGACCATAATCGGCAATTGTACGGCAACAAAACTAAGATCTGAGAAAATTGCATGAAATGTATCCTTCAAGAGGAAATATGGAACATAGCATAGATTGGTTGTAATTCAAAACGCTTAAGCTACGAAAGTACAATAATAATCGTTTCAATTGCATGCTAATTAGCTATATCTATTGTACATCGTCATAATAACCATCACCACCAATAATTTCATATTCATTAGATGGTTCAATTTAAGCGAGAATAGGTGTGTCATCAGGCAGATTCAATCTTTGACTTTTTAATATGAACATATATGATAAAATTCAATAAATATAAAGCAGTTTTCTATTGTGTCTATTTGCTGAAAGTATGGCTAATTATCGTACATGTTTATCAGTGCATAAATTCGAACTGCTTCCTACAAATAAAGCACCCATCGTTGTACTCTTTTTCGATATGGACCGTTTTCGCCTCCTTGTTCCTTGGCAACTCTAAAATATATTCAGTATCAAATATAAAATGCAACTATTCGAAAGTTTACCTCTTTATGTAAACTTTAACAACAGTGTATTTGTTTTTAATTGAATTATGAATTTTTGAGAAGCAAACATTAGTTTATGACGTTTTTAACGAAATGTTTGGAATCTTCTATTTATTTTTCCTTCTCACTTTTTTCTGTCTAAATATATTGTGTATTGCATTATTTTTCTAAAAAAGTTTGAATGAACTTCGAGAATAAATACGAAACCGATGAAAAATTAGATCCACCAGAATAAGTTATTTGTATTGAGTTGCAAATATCGGAGCTGAAAATAAGCTTCGTGTGGGTAGCGTCAGTGCGTTTGGTAAAGTATGAGTTGCGGAACTGTTTTCATTTAAATTTGCGATACGATATTTTACCAAGAATCTTCACTGCAGTACGTGACTCTCACAAAATTCCATCAAACTTGCTTTCATTTAATATTTAGTCGCTTTTAATAGAATTGGGAGACAATTCTTTATATCACAATCTCTGACAATTGAAACCAAGTATCTTTGGAACAAAACACTTGCACGTACTTAGTGTACATAATCCATTATTCATCTAAGTTCCTAATCCAATCAACCTACAACATATTCACACAAAATATCATGTACAGTATTACATACATTTTGGCTTCATAAATAGGGTCAAATTTGAGTGTGAACACGGATTTATTACCCACTACCACAAAATTGATACTAAGATGGATTTGAGTGATAAATGTCATATATATATGTCGTTGGAAAGTGCTATGCGATAGCGTTATTAAGAAATTACCTTATTTCCACAATATGGATCTGTATCAAGGTATGATATGACGTCGCAATGCAAATGGAGTTCGTTTGAATCAGCAACTGCTCCCCACATAAAAGATTCGAAACCAAAACTAGCTACGTTTGATTCGCATGTATGAAGTTCTTTGGCTATGTTTACACCATCTTCCTCAATAGTGCATCTTAAAGAATTATTATATTTTATTGCTCTATTATAAGTCTAAACAACTCTATTGAATGTAGAAGTTTTGGCAGATCATATGCAGTTATGACGGTTATGTTAAGACCAAATACGATGCTTGTAGAATGTGATTAGATGTTTAACGAAATTCAAATATAATCTTAAGTTGTAATTCTCACCCGTCTTTTATGATTTCATATAAAATTGGATTTTCTCTATTTTCATCGGGTGTGATCCAGCACGCATCAATCTAAATGCAATTAATTTGTTTTTTTTTTACAATTTACGAATTAGGATAAAAGATTTGTTCGTTCGCAATTCTTGTGTACTTACAGAACCGTTGATACAAAAAACTGTGGTAACAGTTTTATCATTCATAAAAAATTACCTTCCACGAGCAGTCACCTAGTTCAGCTTAGGAAGAATTTCTGCGTTTATTCGTCGTTGCAAACTTCATGGGTTCGTATGTACTCCAAAAAAGTTTGTTATTCCCATTAATAAGCTGAACAACGTGCTTCATATTTCAATATGAATTAATTAAATTTAAGCTGCCACTAAGTTGAAGGTCAATAATATGTCAATAATGCCCACTCTCCTTGAACACATATACACACAATTATGTAGAATGACTTCTTTTTTAGTTCGATGTGCCCTTATAAACGAAAAGTATGATAATAAATGCGCTGAAAAATTTGATGGTGGTAAAATAAAATTTTACGCTTTTTCACATAGGTGATCTCATAATCATGATTGGGTAAATGGTTAAATAGCGTCATTGAAAATTGTGTAGAAATTGGATTCGTATATTCTAACTCATCCCCGCTGATATGAAATGAATTTTAAACTCCATGGTCAAGTAAAAGTTGGTTAAAATAAAGAAAATTTTTACAGAATTGAACTCACCTCCAAGTATTCAGACAAACTTCCGTCATGCGTGAATCTTAACCATATTTTGTCGGGTACTATAATTTCACTATTTTCGCTTGTAAAGGTTTCATTAAAATCAGAATCTCTGTATACAGTCATTGTAACTGATAATCCAATACTGCTTGCCAGATTTACAGAAACCGTTCTATAAAGTAAATGATATTTTGAATACTTTTCTAACAATAAGTGATTGTTTTCTCGTAAGTAACTCACGAAACACGACAATTTTATTTACCTTGAAACAATTGTAATTGCTCCAAACGGAATGGTATTTCTGTAAACACTTTGGTATCGACATGTTATATTGAGATTAAGAAGAATTCGTCTGAGAACTTCGTCTTCTTGATACTTAAAATCTGGCTCCAATGTCCGAAGACCGTATACGTAATTGACTTCATCTGGATTTACCTGACCGAAAACAATGAAATAAAGTAGGTTCGAAAAGTCGTGTTGCTGCCTCCTCCATTTCTCCTCATGAAGCCAAAATATAATATGTGATTATTGTTAAACAAACTACTGAGTTATATAGAAACTCGTACAAATAAAATGAGCATTCATGAGCTTGTAATATAACTCTAGCATTTTAAATAAATTTTGAACTAGTACAAACCAACTCACCTGTACAACATAGGCATCACAAGCAGATTGAGTGAAATTGAAAAATACTTCTTTCTTTAGAGGTTGATTACGCCTTTTCACTACGGGTTTGCATTCATCATCAAGTTGGGAGAAATGAACATCATCTGTCGATGTCGGATCTGCAATTGCTAACTCAGTTGCCTGTCGGTAGTTAAGTGTGGCGAGTCCGCAGGCACTTATTCTGAAATGTATTAGTTTGATTTAGTTTCGGATGACGAGAATATTTGCTTAAGTACCTTTTTCAATCGACTTTACGCTTATTTTGATTAGTGGTCTCAAATCTTATTTCCACACTATTCTACTAATATTAGTCATTGTGATGATTGCAATTTTAATTGCATTGGTAATGCTCACGTGATCTCGAGGTTTTCAACCTCTTTCATCTTAATTAAAGGTATTTCAAGTATTTTAATGTTTCACAGGGTGACCCCAAAACAGAACCCATCAATTTCTTAAGTATTTCTACGAAAATTAAAATTTTTCAATCAACACTTGAACTTTTTTGTGTATGATTGTACCCAGAGGTTTCAGTAATCTGGAATGCACGAAAGTTATGTTCTCTCTAGAATACGTTCCAAATGACCTGGGTTCTGTATTTTGAGGTCGCTCTACATATACATATATGTATATAAATTTATAAAAAAAAAAACTTTATTTGAAATTTTTACCTCAATTCAACATAGGAATCAAAACATGAAATATTCATTTGTAAAAGGTCATTGACAATTTCGTAATCTGATTCTGGAATGGGATCTCTCGCACATCTTCTAACTGTAAAGTAAATGCGGCATCGTCATTAGGATTGTAAGTCGTGACTGAGTTTTGTATCTGGGTCGGACCGGCATTGGGTCTGCCCCAGGAAACAGGAAACAGATAAATTTTTGTTCACAACTCGATTTTAAAAGATCGACTGCTAAAAAAGGCGATTCGTATACATGACAAATGATATTTCATGTTATTCATCACAAAATGAGCCGGTTTAGAACCATGATTGTTATGAAATAATAAGAAGCGACACTTTATGGTGTTTTTCTCCTCATTTCGTTAGCTCGTAGGCTTAATTAGCATCGCAAAGAACCAAGTAATCCCAGCCGACACTGTCAAGGCGTTGTACTAGTGGATAATCGTTCTTATTTGAGCAATATTGAAACCCATACATGGATATATATAAGTTTGAAAGTATACTAACCGGAATGACAAAATACCCACTTCTCTTCACTCCAGATTTTTTGACTGCTAACTTTGATCCAGTTTTTCTAATCGGAGATTTTTCGCGAGTCGAAGTAGCAAGCCTTGTTGTCCAGCAGTCGCCACAGGATATTCCACTTTCAAATTCATATTCTTCCACATATTCATCATTAGCAAACAAATCAGCGCACGTACAATTCCTAGAAAATTTCAAGAATTGCATTCATCGGCTTGTATGCATGAAATTTATGATTTCCTTATGTCACTGTGTAAAACTTTCAAAATGAGATAAGGAGAAAAGAAGATAGCAACAGATCAGAGCAGAAATAGAATGCATAGAATCTCATACGCACCTTCGCTTTGTAGTATCGCACGAGGGCACCAACACGTTTACTCACAATTGTCTTCTAAATACGATGTCGTCAATAATCATCTGTTATGCTTTCAATTTGTTTTACTAATTTTATATGCTAATTCTAGCTGTTTGAATATAGTATATAAACAGTAGAAAAAACTCACGGACATATCATATCATCAATAACAAATGCAACAGTATCATCAATTTCATTAACAGTTTGATCGCCACTTTCTAATTCAGTTGTATTCAGGTCAGCAACCAGTTCGGTTTTGTAGTATGATTCATTTACTGCTATGCATGTTGAATCATTCGGTTCATTAGATCCAGTTGGAAAAGCTGCAAGTTTGGAATTTAAAATTTACAATCACAGCGCCTTGCAATTATTGATATATTAATTAATGATGTGTTACAAGAACTAACCTGTGATGGTAACATTGAGTCCAAAAAATTGGTTATAGTATTCCACAACGCATTCTTGTGCCAGTCTTAATGCCGGTTTACCGACTCCATCAGTATAGTTTGAAATATAATCAGGTAAATTTTCGTTCCAACATTCAATCGTGTCATAGGCGTCTCTGGACATAAAAATATATTTTGTCAACAATATGATTAAGGTCAATCACTCAATTTGAATAATTTTTTCCGCTATGGAATATTTCATCAGGAGATGAATAAGTGCAGCAACTCTTTGAATATAAGTATTTTAATTTATACCAAGATATTTGCTCTTTCGGTCGATCGATTTTCTATGTGGTTGATTGCGACGAATGTGCACTGACCAAAATCTTTATTTAAAGTGTTAGAATGTATAGTCTATATCCAAACTAATATTATTTATTAATACATAAAACCCCTCGAAATTATAATGACTCATTTAGATTTTTTCCTCGTGATCCCATATGTTTCAAACTTGTGCTGGACCGTCCAAAGAGCCAAAACAAAATGAGAAATAATTTTGGATGTATTATGTCTGGATTATCGGATTATTACTTACATGCAAGTTTCATTCCCAATAACCTCATACCACGTCGAATGGAACAGCGTAAATGCCACCGATCCTTCCCAACTCCTGTTTTCAAACCTTGGTATATCTGCTGAGAGATTTCTCATACATCCAGGAAAGAACTCTTGAACTGTAAGAGCTGACCCGGCTTCTCTCTTCTTTCTATGAAGACCATGATGACAGCCTGAAAAAACAGCGTTCGGAAAACTCCAAGAAAGAGATATTCATATTATATATCGTAAGCACTTAACATTGGGTGCATTTCGTGTAGTACAAAAATTAATTACGCGATATAGAAATATAAGTTATTACATTTAACTTCCTACTCGCCCTGCAGCACAAATATTATATACAAAATAATAAATGTTCTCGTTCACAAAGGACATTTAATCGTAATAGATTTCATAACAGATTGCATATTCTCGGTACATTTGAATATCGACATTTAAACTGATACTGGATATGCAAATTTAAACATTCTCTTGCTTGCTAATTGTATATGTTCTATAGCCGCATCGCCCGCATGGCAAATGATGCCTGGGGATTATACTATCTTGACAACATCCAGCGCTAAACATAATGCCCAACGTTGGTGTTAAAAGTGGCCATAACACGATTTTGACTTTCGATCCGCAAAATTGACTATTGATAGTCTATGAGATAGCTGACACTAACATATACTGCGCAAAACACACCAGTATTCCAGACAAATAACACGTTAAACTTAATTAATGGATAGAGTATATACAATATTAAATCAGACTTTACCTTCCGCCGGATACGAAATCATATTGTTAATGCTGAAGAATATGAGATAACAGACAACAACTATCGAATAAATAACAGAACTCATTCTATTTTGTAGTTACATTCGTACAAACAATATTGATTATATATATCTATTGTAACTGATAAATAGACATTACAGTATAAGTTTTGCAAGCTTTCCTCAAAGAGTGTTCTGTTAATTTCTTAGCCACCGATGTTTCTCCCCTATACTGGAATTTCACACTTCAATATTGTTTTTATAATTTATCTATTCCTATTGAGCTTTCTATCCCAGTGATAGTTTAATAGTTGCTAATGATTTCTTCACTAATAGCAAAATATCTAAAACACCTAAATTTAGAAACACCCCATAAAATGAAAAGCTGCCTTCTCTCAACCATTTTCTTACTGTGAGAACCAGAATCCTCAGCTTCTGAGTTCATATTTGTGTTTATATGTTTATAATTATGCACCTATCATGCAAATGGTTTTCACTATAATGATTTCATTATACCAAGTAATCATGCACAGATTCGGGCATTTATATAGCACTTGTTTACAAATAAACCTTTTTACATCAAAGAAATCATTTGATCGAAGAAAACCAGTAAATAATAAAACGTGGTACATGCCTGGTGAATGAAAATCAGGCCTACTGTATTTTGTTCATGAGTATAAATCATCAAAATCGTTCTTTAATCGACGGAAGTTAAATGGCTAAACACGCTAACGTAACATTATACTGGATAACAGACATATTTATTTTTTTTTTGACAGCAGATATTTCCAATCATCGAGGCAAAAATCATTATCTATCTTATGTACAACGACGTTGTTTTCGTAGTCCACGTTGCTTTTTAGCGGCATTGCCATACTTATTGTGTACATAATGAATTGGTGAAGATATCAGTTGAGATTAAAAAAGGTGTTTTATGGCCAATCTCTTTTGATCTAGCTCGAGACTTGCTATTGCCAATATTGAGTAGCAACTACTACGAAAAAGATAATGATTAATTATGTAAAATTAATAATAGCGGTGTGCGTGACTTCAATATCCACCTAAAGCGTTGTCGAAGTTTTAAATCGAAACTTTTCGATTTAAGTAAAAAATTAAAGACACTTTCATCGTAAAATTTTAACCTAATGATGTGCAATCTACGACCTGATGTTTGATTGAAATAAAATTTTTCACGAGGCAGCGCAAATTCATTGCCAATTTCAATAAGCATTTCAGGTGTTACTAATCTCTTTTTTTTCCAGTTTTACTGTGTTTTATGGACAATAAAAAATGCCAGGCTTAACGATAAATAGAAGAGCGGAAATATGTATCCTAAATATTTCCGCTTTATAATTCGCACTTTATATCACAGCATCGAGTAGAGCAGTAACATCCAAACATGAATCAGTTATAACCTGCGACTGAAAGGTGCGTCTTATGCAAAGCTCGTACTCAATTGGGGCGTCACAAAATAATAAAAGTTTTTATTCGGAACTATGATTTGTTTTGATAGGCGGACAATTATTGAATGGGATTTGAAATTGTGGTATTAAACCACATCCTACTTTTACATTCAATTTATATCACAATTTTATATCGCATAGCAATATCAGAGATTTAGGTGCGTTTTTTTACCCTCTTTTTATTTCACTTTGTATACTTCGGACGTATCGAAAATTCCGTCCAAAAGCGACATGTTATATTTGAGCGTTGGAATGAGACATCGTGTTAATCAGTAAATCACATACCAATGTATCACGTATCGAAGTTTAGTTGGATTGTTTCTGCACGCATCGTTGTTATGCTCAAACTGATTCTGTACCACTGGTTTCATGGCTTTTTTTTCAAGTTAATCATTGATATACTGGTAAATCCAGAGCAAGTTGTCTGAGAGGTATACTGGTTGTATATCGTAGGTATTTCCGTAGAAGAACATTAGTAAAAAGATAATAGCAACTTTTTTTAGAAACGTTCATAAACATTTATGGGGTCTGTGGACAATTACAAGCTTTGTCAAAAGACCAACTAAATTTGTTATCATTGGTGGACATGAAAGGCAGCGCTGCTCTTGGTACATGCGGTTTCGAAAAAAGTTTGTCAACGTGATTCCTGTTAGCATACTTTGTGACTTTGTGAACGGTAGTACAATTCCCTTTGTACTTATGATCTATACGAACATCATATTGAGTGTAATTAATTAAGATATGCATTGGGCATTTGTTGTCTTTTGGTAAATTACGCGTTGAATAGGTGAACTCAGAAGTCATATATACGATATATTTTGTGATATTTTATAGGGGTATGAATAAATGTCACTCGGATACGTTATGCACAACTTGGTATCAATTCAAGCGAGACAAAGCAAACGTTTGTTGTTCGACAACAGTACTTATCTCATGTTTTGTGCCCAGGAAATGAAATTCAGAAAGGTTACAGTAGTAACAGTATTACTATTTTAAGGTTGTGAGACTGAGTATGATATTATTTTAATTGACGAGATATTCAAATGCATTGTTTCGATTAGTGTGATATAAGAAGATACTTTTCGTCATCGTAAAATTTCCCAATGTAGGAGTATATGACATCATGTTTCCATAAATTAAAAATCATATATATTTGTTGGGATATTTATTCCACACGAAATCTGAAATTGCATCAAATATTGTTGGCACTTTTAAGGTGTTGTACTAACGCCTTTGATTTGAAGAGCCGTATCGTCCTGGTACATTTTTATTCCGTAACTCTTTATGCGCGGAACATGCATGGCTATTGAAACAACTGAGAATATATAGGAAGAATTTTTAGTTATATCTATGTAATATTAGAATAAAATAAATCACTGTGTTCGCATTGAGACTATGTGAATCGGAGAACAAATTTGGTATTGAAGTTTATGTCGCTTTTCTGCGATAGTACAATGAATTACTTTGTATACGCTGAAGTTACGTAAAATATACCGCGGCGCAAACGTCATAAAATAACCTTTCTCCAAATTATTGGCAACTCTTCTAGACAGTTATTTCTTCAGGGCATAGAGAATATAATAGTGTAAAAAAAACTTCAACGTTTGAATATAAATCGGGAAATTAGTAGAGAGAATTAGTGACATGTGTCATCTGTTCTAGCGATATGGTATGGCTTATTGATAATTATACGAGGTTGGTTTTCAGCAATTGCGTTGTGCCTGCAGTATAATATACAACTGGAGTTTATTGAAGCCGTATTTTATATTCCTTTATTGATTTTATTCTGGACGACCCGCAGTTTATCTTGTATGTAGTATTTTAACTGAATAGAAGCCACAGATGACAAGTTTTAGTCAAGACGTTTTAATTCAGCTCCGGTGATTTGAGAGATTTATTAATGTTCTTAAAATAGGTGGTTTAGGGTAGGTAAATGATGACAGAATTTATGGACCGTAAATACTTCAAAATACATATTACCATATTATCTTTTTTTTTGTTCCGAGTTTATCAAAATGTTTTTGCTATACATTCACCGTAGAAGACTTAAGACTCGACCGCGTCAGTCATGTACAGTGTATGCTTGGTCTAAACTTAAACGAATACCGTTTTCTTCATTGGGAAATGTATGTAGAAGTAGAATATAGGGGGAAATTTGTTTAGTTCCTTCCAGAGTTATTTACCTATATAAAGAAAATAGTTTATTGAAAGTGAAAGTACCACGATAATGGCAAAGGGATAAAATATCACAGTAGGCCTGTAATTGGTAGCATAAGTACTACGAACATTAGCTTCAACCTTATAAAGATCTGATCAATGTAGTCATTTTAAAACTGGAATAGATCAAGTGACAGTATTAAACAAAACCCGGCATCAGTCTTTAGAATTTTTAAATATTTTAACATTTCAGTTTTACGAGACGCGTGCGAACTTCTGACCTTTGTATTATTTTATGAATGGATTTGCATAGGCGTAGAGTAAATCTATCTCTCGTTGTCATATTATATGTCGATATATGTACTCAACGTTAAATGAGTCATATGTTGCTACAGAATCAGTCGTAATGCATAAGTCCGAATGTTCTTTGGACTGTAATCTCTTAACTTCAATCATGCTGCAAGCATTAGCGAGAATGAATGCAAAACGAATAATATCGCTTTAGAAATGTAGCAATATCAATCGAAAATGCGCTGATTGTGGTTGTTGGGCGCATGTGATGTCTTCATACGAGATTTTTCAGGACAGTTGTGTTCCTCGGGGAGAATTTACGTAGAAAGTTGCTTGAGGTACACGGCTTTGTTGAGGTAAAAATGCTAATAACGGATTGATGGCACTAATGAAAAATAATACTCATGCGATGCACTATAATAATAGGCTATAAAAATACATTAGGAAACGCACGGTAAATACGATTTTCGCTTTACAAAATGTATGCTGTAGATGTAGAGTACTAAACAATAATATTTGTAATTGATGATTAATCTAACTTTTTTTTTAATTTGCATGTATTATTCAACGTCTAACGTGATGTTTGTTAAATTTTTTTTCAAGATCTTAATTTAAAATTGTCAAAACTTAACAACGGGTGTATAAAGCAACCATCATGAGTCATGTAGGTGTTCTCAAAGAAGTGGAAGACTTTCTGAGAAAAGATCTTGCAAGAGAAGTGCTCAGTACTCGGACTAAGGATAAAAGAACGGCACTAATAAATAAAGTATCGTCATGTATTACTGAAGCAAACGAAAGAAATACCAAGGGTGTGTTATTCATAATTTTCTTGTTGAATTTTTTAACCTCTTTGTAGTTACATGACCGAACAAATCGGTCAGTAGCGTGAAAACACGGCATAATATAGTCAATCTCTTTCTATATTTCCGTTGGTACCTCAGAAAACTAATTTCTGTTACCAACACACAAGATACGAAGAAAATTTTCTGTAACCTGAAATTCTTTTTCATGAAATATTGCAAGTCACTGAAACTAATCAGCAAATTTCATTGCTTTTCGTACGTTCAGTAAAGACATTTGGTTTCTGCAACCTTATCTAAATTTTATTAGTTTGGTTATTAGTGTGATCTGGGTATAAAAAAGTACAGAAAATTAACTAAATATTAAATCTCATTCAGTTATGCAAAACCACGAGATGTTAAAAACGTGCTCATTTGCATATTATTTTAGAATTTGCGTATTTATTCAAACTACTGTCTTTTTTCTGGTTCATTCAAATGAACTAGAAATGTCATTAGATTCAACATATTTATTTGTAGTACTATTAATCAGACCGAAAACATAAACTTCAAGAAGTGACAATAGAGGTCAACGCAATAACCTGTCACCGAGGTTCAATCAATAGGTCTTGTTGTTACGCACGATTAATGTATGCTGGACAACTTTATATTATTTTGAATAAAATAATTTTGAAAATAATCGACTCGGCAGTAAAAAAACTCTCTTGAACTGATCTTTGGGAGATATATTTTCATGATCTATATTTTACTTTTGAGTTCGATACATACAATTCTAATATTCTATGAAATCACAATGGGCGCTAACTGGATCAAGTATTCTATGCCGGTGATGGACATGTACAATCAACCGCGCGAAGTAGGGATCTAATATGGCTGTGAATCGAATGTGGTATGAGGGAGATGGTGTTCATCGTCTATCCTGGTCGGAATAAGGATCAAACAAACGACAATATCGCCCACATAAATGCGATTTTATCGTTATCGTACAGTTTGGCCATTGTTGTAGCAATGTTCGCCCTCCGTGGTGTCTTGATAAGAATGTTACGATCCCTACAGTAACCTTTAGTGTAAATGTTAGCTTGAGTTTACGATTGACCTATGTCCACTCAAATTGCAAACAAAGAGAACAAAATAAACTTATAAACTCAGCCGAATGGAACAATTGCTTGACGAAATTTGCGGTTTATCGAAATACAACTTCGACATCCATTAAAATTTGATTCTATGCAATCATTGATTGATCAAAATAATTATTGAAAATTTGCTTAACCTTAATTTGAATAAAAGTAAACCCATCATATTATTCTGTTATTGAAAGTCTTTCTACGCTCTATATCAGTTATTAAAAAAAACGTAAAGCACAAATCAAATTGAAATGCATTGTATGTAGAACCCCAAAATTATTGCGCAGTTCTGAATAAATTTATTTCAAAACCCCCGTTATATTTCAGACGAATTTGCCTCTAAACAAAGAGAAACATCACGGATGCAGGCTACGAATACGAAAATACCGAAAACACCTGGAAAGGTACATTGTTACTATGGCAGTGCAATCATAGAAATTGTTAAAATATTCGTTTGTAGAGTTATTACTTTCTTCGAAGTAGCTGTAATAGAACCAGTTACAGTTATTTTAGGTATTAGTTTACATTGTTTATTTATGTTACTAGTAGAGCGAAGCATCTTCCCGACGTTAAAATGCGAGCATTTGACACAAATATGATTGGGTCAGTGGATTCGTATCCATTGAAGCACAAAATAAAGTTCAGGGTTAATCAACCTACTTTTAAATTTATTGGGCAGTTAGGGTAGCTTGCATGCCGGTTTTGAAGTTCCATTTTTGTGGGAGACGTCGTCGGCGTCGTTTCATCTCAATCTAAAATGATCCATATTCTCACTCAAGTTTGAATATATAAAATTTACCTATTAACAGGTTCAAATTGACGAAGATTCGGATGATGGCGATGTACGAGTTGGTCTTGATCTGTTAACATATTGTTATTAATGAATGAATTATCTGTTGTGATTGTTCCGTACGTTTAAGGACAGCGTATCGTGGGTACCTCTAATACTATACCTGTGGCGATCGTTGTTCATAACAAGTCGTGGCATTCTCTTTTATCAAAATTTTCATTACTGTCACAGTTATGTCGCCCAAAGTATATATTAGTTACATCACAATTTCATTGTCCCGGTCAGAAAAGTTAGGAAATTTTTTATATATATGTAGGCTAATCACAGATTTTATTTTATTTCAGTATTACATGGATCTCACTGATATAAACGGAGGTCCTGCCATGAACAGTAGTCTCAGTCCTCCAAGTGAGTCTTTACTTACTTCCTAACGTGTTTTAAGCAAGAATATGTTTATTTTTGTTATTTGTTTAAGTTATAACTACCGTATTTCCTGGCGAATAAGTCGCTTTTCTAGACCCAAATTTTTGGCCTGATTTTGTGGGGGTCGTGTTATTAGGCGAGTATGATAATTTTCATATTTTTGTTGTGCCTTATTATGTATTAGGTAATGTTTTTTTATGGTGGACGCAATTGCAAGTTGAACACAATTAGATTAAAATTTAAAGACACTTTGAATTCCGTAGTTATTATGGATTGAATATTACGCTACAAGAGAACGTCATTATAGGCTATTTTAACCAATGCGCAAACGTGGCGACCGCTCAAAAGGCATTGCATGGTAATTTGAGATTCGGATGTTGATGCGATTTTGCTACCCCGACTTATTGGCAGGTTATACGCAAAAACTCATTTTTTCAGGCCTAAAAATGGGCCTCGTCTTATTTACCGGATAGACTTATTCGCTGGGAAATACGGTTTAAAGTCCAATACGGAAGCGAACAGTTCATTTCACTTTAGTTTGGTGGATCGAAATACATTCTCTAATTCAGTTTCAAGCCTATATATGCAGCCCTGCGATCCCATTTGATTACCTGTATTTTTTAAATGTTGATAAATAGGTCCCGATAGTTTGCCCGAGCATATAATCCCAAGTACGGCTATTTTTGTGTATTAAATACCGAAAACACGATTTTACGCACTGTTCTGATGTAGTTCGGTGAATTAGAACTGATTTAAATTGTGACTTATATATTTTGCTATTACTTGTCTTTTAGTCACAGAAAGTTATGGAAGTGGATCTGGATATGAATCTTATGCATCGGATGAAGATAGTTCAACGAGGTACATAAAATAATATATCGTCACGCTAATAACCGAATTGCGTAAGTCATTTTTAGCTGTTTTGAGAAAAACGTAAAAAACTTCCTAATGATATTGTTGTGCCATTGAGAGTCAATAATTTGCCATGGTTCAATTTTTTGATCGTAGCCGGATTTAAGTTAATTTGTATGACGCAGTTAAGTGACGTCATAATGGCGCATTGTGACTTAGGCAGAAATGCGTCTATGACTTGGGGACATACGCAATTTTGCAACTTTACTATATGCACCAGTCCTGAAAACTGAACATTCCAAGAACGAATGTAATTCTCAGTATCTACAATGTCCAATCCCCAAAATAGCTAATCAGTTTCAATTACATTATTTTTTATGTTTAAAAACATATATTTCATCAATATAACACGTTCTCCACACCCACCGAAATAAGATTAAGAATAAATATAAGGAATAAAACAGCAATGCATCCAATATAAAAGCCAACCAAAGTGAATTGGACTCGGACAGTGAATATCACAAGTGCATGCCTTCCTATACTGTAGTATAAATTCAAATTAATACGCGCTAAGCTAGAATCCGAGATGCAAAAACTCGAAAATACTTCGCTGAGATTATTTTGCCTTTGTGACGTCACAATAGTCCAACTGTAATAATGATAATTGATTATGACGAAACAATTGCACAAATGTGCATGTCATACTAAATCTTCATTTTTATGGGTTTCGGGATTCCTAAAATAAAATCTGAGTTAACAGACAGGTGCGCAGCATTACATAAATACCTATTTTATAAAAAAAAAACTCAAAATCGCCGAAAATGACTTACGCGATTCGGTTATTAGCGTGACGATATTCTATTGAATGGTATTAGAAACTATGATTCATTTATAAATATCAACGCAATATCTTAACTCTTTCGTTTCTAATTTTAAACTATTTGTGTTTCAGACAGAAGTCTAACGAAGAAGAAGATTTGAATTCTTATTTTTCCCATTCTGATTGCGATATTTTCAGTTATATTTATCTCGAAAACAAGACGAAATTTTTAAAAGGCAAAAAATGGGCAAAGAGAATCGGAATTGTCAAAGAAAAACATTTGAAGGTAGGATTTATAAATACAATTATATTTTCATGAGGAAATGATACCGATTCAAATATGCGTAAGTTTAAATGTTTCATGGCACACACAAAATACTGGTATCATAGATTTGGGGAAATTTGTATGGCTCACTTTAATCGGTGCTGGTATATTGTTTCTATTTATTTTGGTGAATCACGAGATTTAATATTGCTGGCTTGGTCGTGGTTTATAGCAAATTGGTTGGGGAAAATTACTTTGAACAAAGTTTTTATTTACACATTTTTATTATATATTACATAAATCATCGATATGTCATCTAGGAACTTATGATCGGTTTATTAGAATGGATTAATGAGTAACTAATTCACAAAGTATTTTTTATCAAATAACGAGAAATTAGTTACACGGGGTTTATAACTGATTTTCCCACATAGATATATATATTGACTTCTGAAATCATTTGTTCGGCCATTTTTTTTTGGTTAAAAGAGATAAATCATTGTTTTTTTTGTAACATTTCAAAGTTAACATAGATCAATGTATAAATAGATTCTCTTAAAGTAAATTGGAGCAAAGAACAAACAAACAAATGAATATTGTTCAAGTGTACTTTGAATGCGCAGTGTTTGTACTTTTTGATTTTTGACAAAGCTTAGGTAGCTGCTTACCATAACCACTATAATCTGACGAAGCCAGAGAGTACACGTAGAAATTGGAACATAAACAAGTTGCAATAATGTGCATGCTCCGTGGAAATAAAAAAAATATCAAAAATTTTCGTCCAAACATCAACTTAGCACTCTGTATCCTTTGTACGCTGTTGATATATATCACGGCAGTATTTTTTTTATAATGTGTCCGTGTTTAATAAACTCAAACGTGAGAGCGCGTATAGTGTAAAGTTCCACCTAAAATCTGTGTTGCAATCCAGTAGTTAGTCAGCCGATTAAATTCTCAAGAAATCCAGGTGACATGAACAAACAATTGTGTTCAAATTGTGCCCACATTACGATTCGCCCGTTTGTTGCAAACAAAGAAACTTCATGCCGAGAATACAGGTGGTAAGCATTTGTAAACGCGACCTGTGGTTACTTTATATCTCAAACGTGAGCTTTTCAAACATAAATCAAATATTGATTCACACACAACTCGATCAAACAAATGAGAAAGAAACTGTAATAAAATCAGAACACAATAACTTACTTTTTAAAGAAATTCCATTAAGTACAAATTCTGTTTCACGTGCCGAAGAAATTTTCACTTTTGTGTACGTACAGAATGCTTTTGAACAATCAAGTAAACTCAGATCGCGCTTTCCGGTATGTGCAAAAAAAATTTGAAAGGTTGTTTCATTGACCAGCTTACTCTGATTCTCATCTTTTAATACGTATATGCTAATAGATTTTTTTTCTTAGTCTTTTTCCATACGACAGCTTTATATCTGGAATAGAAAAGTTTAATGTTTTTGATGAAATATATTTGAAAGATAGCTTTTACGAAACTAAGCGTCAAATATACAGTATACCTTTTGACCGATTTGAGCCTTCTGCTGGCAAATAGGTTATTCTATGATTTGCAGCGAAATCTTTCAGATAGAAAAATTCAGTTAATGGACAATGGCAAATTCGAATGAAGCTCCAACGTTACGATTTAGAATTTGGTTCTATCTTGTTTGGTCAGAAGAATCCGTGAAAAAGTGTGAACACCCTCGGTAAACATTTGAATGTTTGCTATGACTGGACAAATTTTTAATAATAAAACTTATTGTCAAATTCTCGCAATGTAATATTATTCACGGAGGCACAGTGCACACTGAACAACAAAATTTAACAATTTTAAACGATTATCTATCAACTTGTATCACAGTAGTAATTCCTTTAACCAGCTAAAATATTTTTTGAGTAAAATATATCGCCATCATCTATCTACTGTTGGCTTCAGATTTTTATCATTTAATGCACAAACGATTTTAAAACTGATGATTTTCAAGAATACATGTTGTGTTACAACGTTAAGAACGTCACGATTTCTCCGTCCCAGTAATCATTTCCTTCAACCTTCACAAAGCCTGCAAACATTTTCCGTCCCACATAGATTCGCTGTATTTGTGACCACTTATCTGTAGTCCTATTGATAGTATTAAGAGGTTTTCAAATTGCCAGTCACTATAAAAAAAAAAATAAATACTAATCTTCTTGCATATAACTCGAACTTTCCATGGGCAGAAAATGCTGATAAATCATGATCATGATGCATTTGTGAGTTTGATTCTTTTAATCAAAGCCTGACATACTGTATATTTTTGTTGTACCAGTGTTACAAGAAACCAGGTGACTCAACTGCAGTATTGGATATACCATTGCGAGGATACAGCACTACGTTGAAAAATAAAGAAGGAACTTCCGATGTCATATTTATTCTTGCTGCTGGTCCCAACGACGGTGATGCTCACAAGTGATTAAATTTTCAACATACTTTTTCCCAACAAATGTAATTGTATGTATCGTGTTTCCCCGAAAATAAGACAGTAATTCAATTTTCTTCCGAAAAATAACACAAGGGCTTATTTTCAGGGGATGTCTTTTATTTCCATTTATCGAAAACAAAATTACAAAGTAGAAAATTACGTGATTTTCAAATATACAAAATAAGAAAACCGATATCCATTTACTTATAAATAACACGTTTTTAAATCAGTTGCCTATACACGTAAAAAAACGAGTGTAATCCAGCTACATCGTGGTTCTATATTGTGATATTTCGTTTTGTATGTTGATCTAAGATTCTAAGATACCATTTGAAAATAAAATTCGGAAATTCTGGTCAAATTTGTTTATGAGTGTTTGTTTCATCTACCCTATGCTTGCACCCTTGGCGTATTGTATTATTTCGTAAAGAACAGAAAGGATAAACTCACTTTCACATCGGCGTTTAATGATTAGCATCAACGACACTAATTCAAAATCCAAATTAAATACTCGTCCATGAACTGATGGATTGGATGGATTTATTTTTTCAATTACTCCACTCTTGCAATGACATTACCGGGCATTCTATTCGACAGGTTTTATGTGATGCGTGATAAAGTGGAAGATTGGTCTAGAGTTTTGAAAGAAATAACGCATTCGGTATCTGACACAACAAATCTTCCTCCTCCCGTTGCTGTCAGGCCTACTAGTACTCTACCTCCACTGCCAGCTCAAAATGCTTCAAGTAGTGCTACACAACAACGGGTGCAACACGCTTCAATACAAAGAACACCTTCAGTTGGAGTAGCTGGTGATTAGATGTTAATAATTTTGCACCACATATGCTATGGCCTAAAATATTTTATTTTTTTCCCTAGAAATAGATAAGTGTAATTCGTCTCTCTCAAAGTCCGAGTAACATATATTAATTTATGTATTTCAATGCATGATGGATGAATAGAATAATTTTTCTCTATCGCAGCAATAAATAAAGAGCTGATTTGCAAACGAATTGAATTGATTCAAATTGTTTATAGCAAGAAGGTTGATTTCAACTGCTTGATGTGCACATCAACTCTACTGCACGTACATATATATACTCGTCTTTAATATACATTTTTGTACGAAGATATCACATTACAATTTTTCATCTATACAGAAAGAGCAAAAAGTATGGGAGATATATCTGTAGTTATGACAGATTTAAGTCCGCCACCTGTACCTCCTGGACACCCAACTATGAACTCAACACCAACACAATTAAATTGTAAATTATATTTAATTTTGAATGCATGCAAATAATTTTTCATTAGCTTCACGCAATTTGTTTAATATTTTTATAGTCACCCGCCACCTTGCTATTCTAACGTATCCGTTCAAAATCCTGTATGATCATATATACAAAATGGGAATTTTCATTTTCGACGTAGATATTTTCATTTTTGGCATATTCATTAATTTTAAACAATAACATTTGGCCGATAAATTGGAGAAATGAAAACTGATACAGACTGAATTGCAATATCATGTATTATTAAATATTGTATAAACTACCCCATGGACAATGCGAGTACTACTAAACTAAAATCACATAATCTCCAGAGGTCACTACATACGAGGGAATTAGTCCTCCAATATAAGATTTAAATGTCATATATATGTGAATGAGCATTATCAGTAATTAGATGAGATATTTCCATAATGAGTTGCTGGTCGCTCACATCGTTACAATATATTTTGACCGTCCGTCATATTGTTATACTGAAAATATTCAAATATTTTGCGGTTATGCGATAATAATGTGAATTTTATTTTATCTGTAGATATTGGCAAAGGGCTCAAAAGTGCTATGACAGATATGTTCAAAAAAGACAAAACGAAGAAAAGAATTTCTGTTGCGGAGAATCTGGGTGCTTCAGTTTGCGGTAATTTGGCATCATTTTTCTATTTATTAGATTTATATGAGATATGATAGTACAGGATTTTCATACTATTCGTAGCTAACTGAAATGGTCCAGCGTGTACAAACCATGCATCCGACAGATTTTTAGCAACGGTTTTGCACATATTTCCTATCCCTCAGACATTAAATTTTTTGCGTGGCAATTAGCAGTGGCATGACCAGCATGTTCTGAACAACTTTTCCCCTTTATTGAAATATAGTCAGTCTAATGTGTATGATCTTTAACCAAGTGTACTTTACGTTAGCTCTAAAAAACGATTTTTTACTTCATCTTAAAATAATTTTGAAGGATATCTTCTCGTGTATGATACCAAATGGTCGAAGAAATGGTGCCTGGTTAAAGCAAATAAATTATTAATATACGGAAAAGAAGAAACCCCCGAAGTTCAAGTAGAACTGACAGGATGTGATTTGCTCCCGTATTCGGACGACCAGGAACGACAATTCGGCTTTAAACTTTTGAAAGACGGACAAGAAATAGTGTATATGGAGGTCATTGAATTTTTGTTATAATTTTTTCTTGCATCAGATGTATGTTTAACTTTTACTAGGTTTTTTTTGATATTTTTTTCGTTGAATTTCAATGCGGGTTTTATTAGATCAATATGAGACAGACGAACCTTTGGTCAAAATTTTAATCATAAAATTTCAATTTGGATTTTCAGGCAAATTCTTCAACAGAGATGGGAAAATGGGTCGGTGTGTTGATTGCAGAGACAGGGTGTGCAGAGATGCCAGAATCAGAACCACAATACATGTCAATAGAAGTTCGAACAAGTGTGATGTCGTCAGCAAAACAGGCATTTCATAATCAGAGAGAAACAATGACTGAAAAAAAAGCTGGCAAGGTTAGTAACATTTATTTAAAACAATGAGTTGTTGAAAAAAAACTTATCTTTGATATATCATACGTGCCATTAAGTTCGTTTTTCGAATAGAAATAATTTTTCAAGGATTTTAGCATGCTATTGAAACTCAAATTAAATCTTATGTATTGTATCCTTTCTAATTCCACAGAAAAGCTTTTAATTAATATTAAATTATTCACGTTTTCAGTCAAAGTTCTACAGTGAGGAAGTCGAGGAGGAAGATGAGTTATATATGGACCTTGCAGACTCCCAAATAACGCCTCAAAATATCTCACCTCAAAAAATATTTCCTCCTCCTCTTCCTGCGACCAACCTCGGTTCCAGCAAAAATCAGGAATCGGAAAATTCAACTGAAAGCGCTAAAGATAAAGACAAAAAGAATAAAAAGACAAAAAAGGCTGTTAAAAAAACTAACTCGGATAAGAAAAGTGATAAAACTGCGGATATTAAAAAAGAAAAACAAAAGCAAAGGAGAAAGGAGGAAAAGCCACAACCAAGTTCACCAATAATAAACTCTCCGCCAGTATCCATGCAAACAAGAGAAATCAAAATAGTCGACAATAAAAATACAACAAGCAAGCAATCAAATGATACAGTAAAAGGTGCTACAACAAGTAATAAAGAAACAACTCCATCTCGTAATATGATGGATGGTAGGCGAAAGGAAATGTCAGAAAAAAAAGCGGACATAAAAACGAAACTTATTACTCTGAAGTATGCATTAGTTTTTCTAGCCTAAATTTTTACATGACATAACAATTATATTAAAACATATTAGACAGTTGAATATGCAGACCATTTCAAATTACACAAAGAGCGAGCTCTTCTACCGAATCTTTTATTCACTCTTTGATGGCGGTAGTATATGAGTCAAATGTGCTTTCTCATTCATAATATTTGGACTCTAATTATTTTATGTTGAACATTGGATACCAATTGAATAAAGTGACCCAATGACCCAATCTGATGACCTTTTAGTATGCTATCATGGGAAGCAGGAAATATTTCTGAATAAATGCTGATCTATGCCTTGTTTGTCTAAAACGAGTCAACTATTTTTGTCAGTTTTCAGTGTTCTGAATTACAATTACCTAACCAATGCCATAATTTAACACACTCACGACTAAAAGTGACGAGTTTTTCAAGATAGTTTCGAATTTGGCAACATAAAATATAACTCCATACTTTTCGATCTACACAGTGTCAAAAAAGACGAGCTAAATAAATATATTCAAGCCGCATCTACCGAAAAAGAACGAGGTAGATTAAGAATCATGTTGCAGAAAGTCAATCAAGAGCATAGTAAACTGGAACGGGAAGACGTAGCACTGGAATTAGAGATGAGGAAGATGAAAGATGAATCGTATGACATCGATTCTCCGGAAAATAAGGTGAAACATTTAAAAAATTATTTTCTGAAATCAATCGAATTTGTTTTATTGTACTGTAAAATTCTTCAACTATTATAAACAACAGCATATTTTCGAAAAGGATAGATATAGTCATTATATACACAAAACTTAATGTTGTTCGATCAATTTGCAGTATCGCAAATTCATTTTATCCTTTATTCAGTGAGATCCTAGCTGCTACACATAGACAATGAATCCCTGCTTGGCCATTGACCTGTATATCACATAATTGCGAACGGTGAATCCCATGGTGCACTATGATAGTAAAACGCATAAAAATTTATTTTTTGTAGCTATGCATTAATTAATTGTCTGTTTACTTTATCAGTGTTTCAAATGCACACTGGATAAAAGTAATTTAATATGCTAATATCACTGCTTAGTTAATCATTCACATTGCTATATCACATCAGCGGCCACCATCACGACGAGAACGCAAACCAATTAACACTGGAGCGACAGGAAATGTTTTATCTAAAGCTCAGGTAAATTAATCGAAGCTATTCATTCTGCTTTTAGTGCGTTGCACATAGGCAAGCATTTTGTGATTCGCTCATTTAGTTTGAAATCTGTGAAGTAATCAATTTCTGGTCGACCTTTCTCAATCTGCGGAGTGGCCGGTTGCTTATGCAGTTGTCGCTCATTGGTACTACGTTTTTTTTCGTGCTCTTGCATTACTAGACACTGGTATAACTTTTGTACAACTTTTCTGTTGCGGTTTAAATTGACCTATATCGACAAGGTTTGAAGTGCATCGCGTATTAGTGGCCAGTATTTCGTAAAAAAGTTATTATGAGATACTTGTTTTATCTTATAAATATAAATAGTATATATTGTACATTTTTTGGGCATCTATTTTGAATTCTGTTGTTTGCTGGAAATTTTTTTCTTAGGTTTCATGCTAAATTTAGAATGTTTCTCAATATCCCGTCCAGATGTAAAGGTTAGCAGGACGGACATTGTGGCCTCTGGACCGAATTCATTACGAGATACTTGCCTTCTTCGACCATATAAAACTAACGTTATCCAGTGTTATTCCAGTATTGATTGATCTCTAATGAATGAAAACGAAAATGTTACATATATATCTAACATTCTTAAAGTTTTTTTGACGTATTGTAACGTTTATCTCATTTTTGTATATCGCGTGAAAAACGTGGTGAAACCAACCTAGATAGTAGAACTATTCAAGTCAAATTGAACATCCGCTATGAAAATTTTGGGCATCTATTTTGAATTCTGTTGTTTGCTGGAAATTTTTTTTCTTAGGTTTCATGCTAAATTTAGAATGTTTCTCAATATCCCGTCCAGATGTAGAGATTAGCAGGGCGAACGGTGCGGCCTCTGTACCGAATTCATTACGAGATACTTTCCTTCTTCGACCATATAAAACGTATTGGAACGTTTTTCTCATTTTTGTATATTATCGTGATGACAATAGAAAATGAAAGTAAACAATAACTACTTTGCAGATGATTTTACTGAACTCAGATGCTCGGTACCAGTCAACGATTCAAAAATGTAACTGATAACTTGTAGGCAGCATGTCTTAAACAATCATACTCTTTTCAATTTGCTCACACCAACCTGATACAAGTCAGCGCCAGTAGAATAAATTTTAAATAATTCCAGCTTCGGGCACAAAATCCATATTCTTCTTTTTATTGTAGTTGCATACAAATAATCAATATATTGGCTACATCACTATAGTATACACGCAATGAATTATGATGTCATCTCAAACCTTTTTAATTTCAAATGACCTAAACAGTTGAACCTAGTTGACGTAGCGTAGAATGACTGATTCGAAAATAAAGTGTAAATGTAGTTGAAGTAGACGATGCAATTTTGCCAGTGTGACATTATGATATATAGAATTTATTATTTTGTTGCTTTTTAGATAAACATATTATATTGTGGAATTACCGTACACGTGGTAGCGTTCAATATCACTGCGTGTAGAGTTATCTCCCGCCCCGATACATATATATATATGTAATGCATATAGAATGTTTGTGTTGCATTTCCGTAGTTTTTTTGATATCAAGAGACATACACCTACTTTTGTCAATATAGGTGATATTTGAGATAGTAAATTTCTTCAAACGAATTCTGAGTTCAATTTCTCAAAATGTAAAAAATTGGCAAATTATCATTTTTTACAGACTGAACTTTTAATATCTGAATAACTGTTTGGCTGAATGAATGAACTTGTTAGAATAAATTTTTTAATATTTTTAGATGTGGGAGTCGGGGAACTTGAAGTGAACAATTGAAGTCGTTTCACTTAAAATGAAACATCTTATTGTCAACACGGTATGCAGACAAGTTGCGACAACAAGAAATACTGTTTACTCTAATTTTTATTTCAAAGCTTTCCTTATGGTACAATTCTAACTATATAACGATCTCGTACACTATCATAAAAATGGTGAAAAATGTTGCCAGACTTACAACATATAATTAAAATACTTATGTTACAAGATGATGACCAATGATGTAGTTGAACAAATCCGCTGGTTGTATACAATCAAATTCTTTTTCAAAGTTCCCTTTATTTTCCAATCCCGAAAAGTTGCAAAATCTTTCTTTTGTAATCCCTATTAAAATGATTTGTTAATATATATTTTTTGAATTATAATAATATAGTGTGTCAAATTTGAGTATTGATTTATGACGTTCAAAGTCATTATAAAGACTATGGTAAGACTTCATAATCGACGTCTTACTGATACAGAACTAGCGGAAGTGCAATTTGTTGAAACCAGCAAGTCAGACAAGGCTGCTTTATATAGATCAGTACAATTATATGGAGTTTTATTCGGGTGCCATATAAGATTTTAGACAGTTATATAACTTGTATGCGAAAAAATAAAGTGCAAATTAGGTTTTAGGCATGTTCTGATAATGTTAAAGTCTGTGATGTAAAAGACAGAATGAGAATGAACCGTAAAATAAGTGAATTTTCCCCTGAAAATCGATCGAAACAAAAAAGTGAATTATGATGCTTTATCTGTTTTATTCGCAATATAATTTACCTCCGATGTGTGAACACGGAGCCTGATTTATGTATGGCTGGGAACCTAATTTCATTAAACATAACTTTAAATTGCAACACAATTTGACTAAAAGTGATATTATATATATTACCTTCTAAACATAGTATTTTAATTAACCATTCGTTTTTTCGAGCACGATAAAATTCTCGAAAATTCATTTACCACGTAAAGCCATACATAAAAAATACGTACTTGCGACTAATAATTATACGGTAGCATGATTTTGACATTGAGTCATACAATGAACCTATACAAGCTATTCTGTGTGAAGCATTGAAGATGTGGTATAGCTTTGTACACATTTTAGACAGACGTATACAATAAATACGCTACAACGCTTGTATTTGAAGGAAATACTAAACCATAGCCAACTCACGATCAATATCAGGATGTTACGAATTTGAGTTTCATATTACGTCATTCTTGTTTCAAAGTCTCTGTATCTGAAACGTGTCACGCGTAACTTTTTACAGTACTTTGATACAGCATTGTTGTAGTCGCAAGACCTTTATCTAACTACAGAAGCCTTGCTACAATGTCGTCTTTTACCATCAGGCAAAGGATATTTGAGTCGGTTTTAATATGAGGAAATAGCATGGAGCAAATTTTAGAGTGTAAAAATTAGATAATATATATGATACATTATCTTGCGGTATAAATAATCAAACATTCAGTATTAATATTTTCAAAAATTGAAAAAAGTGAGGAATAAGTAATAACCCGTTTCCTCCAAGAATTGAAATATGCAAAAACGAGTTTTAAATGGGATCAAGATTGTGAAATCCTATCTACAGTTATATTGAGTGATGAAGATTATTCGGTACTCCCGTAGTGTGTATACCAGGTTGAGGTTAGGCCATAATTGTATTCCGATTACGAGTTCGGGAACTATCTGTGTTAGCCAAGTGAATATATTCCCTGTCTATAGATTTCAGTTCCTTTACACAACTTGAGGTAAAGTAGGCGAACAAAATTAGTTATATATATCCATTTTGGTACGCACACTTCTGAAGCGCCGATTATTCGCATATTCACCTCGGGGTTACATATACAGACAATCCTGGGTAGCGAACGTGATGACTCTGTTTCATTACTCTCACACTGATATCATACAATTTCATTATTTACAGCGATATCTACAAATTATAATATTCTTCGAAAACCAAAACGATGCAAAATCTGCTTCTCGTCGTTGCTATAGCTTTCACTCTTCTTCAAGGTGAGTGGTGGGCTTACCGCAATGAGGACGTTTTATATTATTTTTATGAATAGTAGCTAGATTAAATCCAGTGTTCTTTTTCCAAAGTTCTTGCGATTATTAATTAATAGTAGAGAACAGACCATGAAACTGAACCAATTCCTTATTCCAAGGTTACTTACATATAAATTTCAATATTAATCTATTTTAATTCTGCAGGTGGTACCGGTCTCAAATGCTACATTTGTGAACACGACTGTGAAACAGTCAATGATGATTTGGAACAAGTTTGCCCGGCTCTTTTTGTGAGCATTGATAAGTTTAGATCGTGCACTAAGACGGTTAATGTCACATCCGCAGGTATTCCTCTTTCTATAAAATTTGATTAGGTTTTTTCCACAAATAATTAAAACGTTATACCGACACAAAAAATCCTCCAAAAGACATAATCACTCTGAAATCACTCAAAGCTTATGCGTAGACTCAAATATACCATCCAAATGAAATTGGTGCATCGAGATATACGTTCGAAGTTGAAGAGTTTCATTAGAAAATAACTTGTGACAAAGTATTCCCAAACCGTCAATTTAACCTGTGTATAATGAAAACATTTAAAAGGTGTCAGAACCGTCAGAAGAGGATGTGGTGTCGGTGCTTCTGAAGCATGCCAAATAACTATGCATGGAAAAACTACACACACACTCTGCCATTGTCGCAAAGGTAACACTATGTATTCTGTATATAACCTTCAAGTTAATACGGTCTGTATTATTTCCACAAAGATATATATTTCACCCCATGCTCTCGGATGTCAATTATTCGATATATATTTTGCAGTGCACATCTAGTGATTGGTTCCTGAAAACGTTATGTATACATTTATATGCATGTCAGAATGTAGGTATGATACAGAGATCCCTTGTCAAAATGTTGTATAAAAACCTCGACATTTATCTATATGTTATACAGATTGAATTTGAAAGTGTTTTTTTTAATTTTAATTTAGGTCTCTGTAACGCAGCAGATAGCTTCAATATGAATGTACTACTCATACTTCTCGTGGCTGTGGGGGTTGTGCTGAACATATATATATATATATAATTAGAAATGTGTTATTTTGTTAAACATTTGCGATCATTACCATCTCAGAATGTTTGTTGATAACTGCTTCAATTATTTGCCAAATATTAGCAGATAAGAACAATTGTAGTCTTACTGATTTTCGATTTGCTTGCAAGTTAGTTAAATAACAAAGAAAAATTAGTGTCTCAAATCTACCAGCTTTGACAACGTTAATTCAACATATATATGTATAATATCAATGTGATATTTCAACTACTCTAAACCTTAAGTAAATTTTAGCATTACAACATTCCAGAAATAATGTCAGGACTATGCTGCCGAGTATAGTTGACTAAAGCGTATTTAGAAAACCAACCCGAAATCTAAACTTTTTTGTAAGATACCCCAATTAAAAGCGTTTAAATAAGTGTGTCCGTATTTTAGTATTGTAAAAGACCGGTCGGGTGGGAAGTCCGGAAAATGACAAATCTAATGCCAATTGAGTAGCAAAAATTTCGAAAGTGTATTTACAATAGCATTCCAAATCAGTTAAAATTTTTCAAATTCTTCCTGTAGTTGCAAAGTTATTGGAGAACAACCGAGTTAATAATGACAATCTGACTAATTTCGTCTAGTTTCCGGATGTATTTTTGGCATATTCTGACGAAATTTGGGTTTATTTGTTTGATAAATTGACCGATAATTCCGCTTTATGAAAGCAATGAGATTTCGGAGCATTCGCAACAATGGAACAGTTTGCTTTCATGAGACTGCACACCACCACCAGATGGTGCCATAGCACTGTGGTAGAGCACTAGTCTTGTTCACCAGCGATCAGAAATTCGTTCTTCCCTGGTGACTTTGCTGACTTTTTTGAAACTTTTCTTTACAATATCCATCAATCATTGAATAGGTAGAAAGAAATATCTGAAGTTTTTTCCATCAAAATATCCCGTTTCTCTCACGCATCTCTTGGAAGATGATAAAATTCATTTAGTGAAAGCTGCAATTTAAAAGCAATTCCATTCAAATTATTTAAAATAACTTCTAATTACATAACGTTTTTTTAAAGAGAGGGCGAATGAAGTCTAACTTTAGTGCAAGTTGAATTTTAACTGCGATTGTTCGAAACATTTTATCATTTCATCAGATGTCAAAAATTAAAAAGTTTGGAACCCAACAGTCTAAAATGAAGGATACTAGTCTAATCAAATTGCCATGCGATATTACAATATGCACAAAAACATAATAAAACTTAATCGATTGAACAAATGCACAGTGATGAACCAATTTTTATGACTAATGTATTTAAATTGTGTTGTAGGGTTCGTGGATGTTGTTCCTTATGACTCCACGCGTGTCAAATTGAGCTTTCTTTAACTGTCAGCTTGAATGTATCTAATAATAACTATTTTGTAATATATTCTTTAGTTATAAAATGGTGATAAAACAAGATAAAATAGCAATAAAACAGTACAACATTTCTTCTAGTATGATTGAGCTTGGATATTGCGGTTGAGCTGTTCGCTGCGCGACAGATTCAAGTCGAATGTCAAAACTCGCAAACGCCAAAAAATTGAACGCGCCAACGCGTTGCGCAACAAATCAACGACAGACATGAACTAGACCTAGGTGTCGCTATAAGAAGTTGCTCCCATTTTGTGAGTCCTTCGTGGACAGGTAATAAAAAGAAAACAAATAAAAAGATAATCGACACAACCCAGACGCTATACTGAAAAATGTGACACAAGACAGTTTTGTTTCGCTGTGCCTTCATGAAATAGATTAAATAGTGCGCGGCATTGTGGCGTAGATCATTGGTTCTCAAACTTTTGGTGTTGCGGAGCCCTTGAAAAGGTTGACTATTATTCACGGAGCCCCAAAATAAATGTTAAAATTGTTACTTTCCGATTAATATTCCCGAGTAAGTTAAACGTACTTTACTCAATTTAAATAGTAAACCCCTTTAATAGGGTTAATACAAGTCATAAATAAATCTAAATTTCAAAGATAAATTGTATATAATAAAGCTGTAAATTTGACACATGACAAACATATTAATAAATTAGGGGTCGAATCTTTTCCCCTCTTGACATTTTTGGAAGACTTAAAAGGCCGCTAATATCGTGCGCAATTGCATTTTGTTACAATCGCCGATTGTTTTCGTCGGCATGGCGTAATTTTAAACCTCAAACATCTTCACGCCGGTGTTTATTCTCCCCAAATCAAAAATTTCCTTCGGCATATACATGTATTGTTCCACAATGACGACGATAATTGCTTTTCGTTCTCGTGGGGAATTATGAGTTCAATGTTAAAAACATGTTACATATTATAATCATCGGCGACGAAATGCTACAAATAATAGTTATTAAAGAGGTGAATCCGCAATTCAAATATCTTGATTAAAAAACGGCATTCTAAAATATTAGAGCTAAAACTTAAAATGGGAGATAACACTATAAGTTTTGTTTCAGCAGACTCACGTCAGAATAAAATCGCTTTTATAGACATTGTAAATGCAAAATTTGATGTTATGTTGAGTTTTCTACAGTTATTCATCGTGGTAACTGCGAAATTGAAACAGAGTCAATTAATTATGCGCGCGATGTACCATTTTTTCACTCTGAAACTACCGACAGAGCCGCATGCACTAAAATAAATTTCAATCGTTCGTATTTTGCCAAGACCTTGTGATTTTTCAAACGGCGATATCTAGCTTAAATATAATCTCGAGTGCGAAAGAACCAATCAAGTTTAACAAATACCAAGATCGCAAAAATACGACTCCAATTCATTTATAGTTGGCAGTTTATTCGTCGAGAAGAATATACGTCCAAATACAGGCCCAGCCTCAACTATTTCCGGTATGCTCAGGGTAAACTCTAAATACGCGAAATCAGAATAAACTTGAACACAAACAAAAATTTCTTAGTCTTTATCTTTTATTGCGTTCGATAGGAATACTAATAGTTAAACGAATGTTGTAAAGGACAAATTACAAACAAACGGGAGCTTAAAAACGCAATCTTTATTTGAAAAAGCTTCTCTAGAAGTTGCAGGCACAAAAAATTTTTTTGGTATCGATCATACATATTTGTTAGGGGTTCTTGCAGGAATGATGAGTCAAACGAATACATTTTTAAAGAAAACTGCTATTCAAATTTATTGTCACACCGACTTTGAAATTTTAGTGAGAAACGTGTTTTTTTAACATTGTGTATTTTGCTAGCTAGTTTTGCTAATGACAGTCGCACTCAGGTTTGAACAAAACAATTCAATCAGTGAATTCTGTGATAAATTTACTTTTTTTGTTGACAGCTATCATGCGGTAAAAGCATGAATTCTAGAAGTTGTAATAAAGTTCAAATAGTATTTATGGTAATTACTCAATAATGAATCAGGCAATGATCACCCACACACGGAAGTTAAAAATATAAGTAATTATGTAACTTCCCCGTTCATTCTCACCAAACTTTTTTCTGTATTTTTAAATTTTTGTAATGTCACAAATATTACCTTGTCATTGGGTACTCCAATTTCAAATTTGATTGCCCAACGTCCAGGGGTGGTAATTTGAACAGACACGAGTGGGCCGGATGAAACGTTCCGGTGACCGCGGGCCATAATGTCCTATATATTGCAACGTCATTTGGTACCCCGATTGCATGTTCAATTGGATGACGTATTAAACAATCGCGAACAATATTTTTTGTGGGAAATTCACTTTGTGTGGGAATTACAAGAGAAAATCTATCCCGAGCCCAATATATATCATTATATAGCAGCGCTTCTTAACTCCTTAGTACTTTACTTAGTTTACTAGGTTTACCTCCGATCCCCCATCCATGTGACGGATGCCTTTATTTATTTGCGACTAAATGATCAATGTCTGATTTGTGCATTGATTTCCCCACAACACTCACATAGGGTGAACACTCCCATAACATTTCAAACACCCCGACAAATATTGGGTCATATTTGCGGCAAAATATAATTTAATTCCAATTATGTTAGGTTTTTATAGAATTTTGACTTTTAATTTCAACTTTTTTATGCTCCTTCTATAAAAGGTCACTTATAATAATTTTAGGTCGTAGAAAGTGTGAATCGGGATAAAATTAACGCGATAATTTTTGCACAAAGAAGATGTTGCACACAAAAATGTTGTCGGCAACAGTACTGCCGCACCTGCTTGATTCGTCACGAAGCCAAATAAATTTAAAATCATAGTACCAAAATTATGCGGCAAATTTCAGGCTTATGGTAAATATATATATAAAAATGGGAGTGGGGTGCAGGAAAGGGACGCGTTGCATAACACAACAATAATCACTAATATTTCAAACTCCCGAGTGTGTGTGATCATTGATTGATTCAACAGTGAGTAACTGACGAAAACACTATTTTAACTTCATTCCAATTCATTACAGGCCATCACGTGATAATTTTGATTAAAAAAATTAAACTATCATTCTAGTATCCTAGGTTTTTTACTATCCTAACCATTGCAAACAAAATAGCAATGCAAAAAAAAATCAGAAATTTAACTTGCTTTTTTCTGTTGTTATCAAATTAAATCTCAGCACCAATTCGTTCATTTAAATCTTCATTCTCTATTTTATCTCTTCGCTAATTTCAGAATGAAACCTCCCCTCCCGCTAATGGGCGACAAAATAGGCTCTGAATGAGGTATTTCTACGTAGCATTGTACAGATGTCTAAATTGATCTCGTTGAGTTTTCATAACTACAGTTTAACTGCGAAGCAATGCTAATTCTTTCTTTATAGCGCCTAGACCGAATAGTTGAAGCCTTATTTCACATCTCGGGTTTGAATTCTATACCCACCTTTACATGTCGTTAAATATCAAAGGCTGCCCATACAAAGCCTAGTTCAGAGCGAACAGCCCTATATGAAAATGCCCTATATAAAACCTAGTGAACAGACGGTAAAATTAGTGTTTTTGAGATATAGAAGGAAGTTTTGAGTTATTTTATTGTCATTGAGAATCTGCAATTCAGACTCTTTATGTTACAAATCATGTGATATAGCGTAAACCTTGTAAATTTTTTAAGGGGCAAAACCCAACCTGTTTTATGTTCATTAATAGTGGTATTTTAATGCGCTTCTACATGTGAAAAGTTTTCGGGAATATAATAAAGGCTTTGATTAAGACTATAATCAGAATAACTTACTGATATATTTAGTGTTAAATATGAGTTGCGCTGATATTAACAGAAAGCAAAAGATTGACGTGAACTTCAGAGATTTTTCTAAACGATATTGATTTCCTATAAGCATGAATGTGTTTTGGAAATGCGATACTTTGAAATCATGGAGTCACTTATGAACAATACAACGGAAATTTAGCTCAACGATAGCTGGAATTGCACAGGAAGTTTTGATAATATTGTCAAGTTCTCAGCCCACTATGCTATACTATATACCAGCACCGGCATAATTGATAAATATTATCCAGTGCCAGGCTGGGACCAAATCTCTATACATTCATTTGGAACCCAATCTAATTTATTTTGTCTTAGTTCAACTGTGGCACAAATATAAGTTCAGAGAACTAACACACTGCCATAGAATGTTGTGATCAACTGAACAAACGTATGTGATCCATATCTATCCATATCCATATATAAGGACAACTATACATTGATATACAGCATCCCAAAATGACCTATTTCACGGACCATAGGGTGCACCGTCACTAAATTGCCTAGATCGGGGTTTTGAAAATACATAAGGTGAACCGAGGTTATGAGGTGTAGTCGGTATTGGTACTAGTTTTGACTGTAGGAAATGATTCATAAAGCACTGCATGGCGCACGCATATGACGCGCCGTCATTAAATGCTGGGCTGACGCTATCCTAAAATTTAAAAGAGAGAAAACAATTTCACTTTTCGCGAGTAGAGTAGAGTAGTGAGTGAGCTTGCACAGAGTATATTTCAATTCTTTTTTAAATTCGAAATGAAGATTCCGATTCGACACAGTTTCATCGGACTAATACTGTTGACGGAGGCTTGTTTATTGATTAAAGGTCAATATAACTGTGCATGCTTTGTGGATTTGCATGTTTGCCTGGATTTTGTTTTATAGGGCTATAAGATAATCATTTTTCTTCGAATATTTGATACCCAGCTGTTGAGATAATCCTTACTTTACGTGAAACGGTTGCTCCCGTAAATCAGGCAGGGTAATTGAGCTGCTCAAAATGAAGTTGCACATCTATTAATTGTGCATGAACAAAATTTTTGTGCCAATATTACATAAAGTTTACTTTTTTTTCAATCGGCTATTATTATTTGCTGATTCCACTTAAGCTAAAAGTAAACTAAATATTTGAAAACCTCCCCAGTGATTTTCAAATATGCAAATTAGTGGTTTTTACCGAAAACTATATGAAGACTCCAAAAATCAGGCCATTGATATTTTAAACGGCATGAACGCTTCCTCGTATAATTATAGAATCCATAAGTCTAACAATGTCCGTTCTTAGTGTAACAGTGTATTGGTGGCATTATTTTATTAATTCCAATATTTTTTTTCCAAACCACGCCAAAAAAATTGTGCAAAAAACATGTAAAAACAATTTATTTGTCGAATTCAACCAATTTTAACATCTTATAAATGTATTCGTAAATCAGTGCTTTAGCTAATATAGGCAACACGGCGTACCTGTGAATTGAAACAGTTCTTTTGACAAATTTCAATCTACTTTTTTGCGCTGGCATATTTGTATGAAAGATGACATTTATTTATTCCGGCGTAGGGGAAGCCAGTATGACGGTGTAATAATATGGCGAACCTCGTCTCTCCATGAACGTTGAACTGACATTTAAATATGAAAAATAATGTTTCGTCTGATAGCTTTAACCTCGTTTAATTTGTCACGTATATACTGAATGCGTCACTGTACCGTAAAAAGGGCTGGATTTACCAGGTAAAGTCGGCCGAAGTCTTGGGGACTCAAATCTTAAGAGCCTTGGCATTCAACTTTGAACTACTAGGTCGTTTTTAAGTCGTTTTTAAATGGTAGAAGATTGTCTGGTTCAAAATTTGATGAAGCTGATATTAATCAAATAAATTCTCGTTCCAAGTATTTACCGTTTTGAAATTGAAAACAGTAGAATAGTGAATTTGTATGAATTCAAAAAAACGCACTCTTGGGCGTTTTGTTACTGCCAGAGTTTTTTGGGTGCTCCCGAAGTATGCGAACCAAGATGGCGGACATCGGAACGTAACATGGGTAACAGGTTAGGGTTAGTCGATAATTTTTTTTCCAATTTTCCTTATTTTAGTCCTATTATCAGTTCGAAGACTAGCCAAGAGCCTCCCGTAGTATTTATACCTAAAATTATGGCCTAACCCTAACCTAGTACACATATTACATTCCGATGTCCGCCATCTTGGTTCGCATACTTCGGGAGCCCCGTTTTTTGATCTACTATCCAATCTTACTAGGGCGAATAGCGATGTAATTTTCCATTCGTAATATATTTTTATGACGTCATAAGTTAGTAAGAGCCTTACAAACGGCGCAGCCAATAGGGTCTGTTAACATCTAAATTCCGCCCTGATCTTATATCGTACTAAATGACACCTCTTTCATGGTAAAACGATTTGGTTTTGAATTCTCCGATGAGAGGATTTCCTCATATGAAACATTCTGTTTTTTAAACTTAAATTTTAAATATTGCTATGTACACTCAAATGTTCAGAAGTGAAAATCGCTTATAGATTAGCGGGCTTGGTGGTCCATTGTTAAAGCGTTGGACTGGATATGTTGGCATTGCAGGGTGAAAATCTCGTTTTAATTCCATATCCACCAACCAGGGCGTTATAAACTGAATAAGCAATGCCGACTCAACAAGATTGCTGCCCATGTAAAATATAGCAGCTAATTATGTATCAGTTTCTACTCGCTTTTTTTCACTTCTGAATCAATGTACATGGCGATATTTTAAACTTATGTTTAAAAACCAAAAAGTTTTAATTGTGAGAATCTTCTCATCGGCTGCTCGCATACAGTCTTGATCGGATAGAAAGGCGTATGAAGAAAGCATCAAACTATGGGGAATTTAACCTTCTTGAGTTTATTGCTTGCCAAAAAAAATGAAAGGATTCTCAGAAACCAGAAATTGAATCTCGGGTATTGATCAGTAATTGGCCCGTGCCCGCAAGACCGCTAATTCGAATTTGATTCAACCCATCATTCAATTTGGAATGTGCGCCATAAGGAAATATGTACTGAATTAGTCTCGTTATGAAAAAAGTTCAGTAACATCATTTTTGTTTATCTGTCATAATTCTTTTTAAAATGAAGAAATTGCTCGATTTATAATTTTAATTTTCGCCTAACAGGTGAGAAATGTTGGATGCCTATGCTTTGCGACGGGAAACCTACTTGGAAGAACGTTACGGTGAGAGCTATAGTAGAAGTTTCATAATGCAGAAATAAAACTGAACAATTTCGTTTGAAACTGAAAAAGAAAAATAGGAAAATAAAATATTTTAAGCAATTTCTCTCAACTATAAATACTGGAGGTTTACCACTTATTTTAATCGGCACCTCTTCCCAAATTTTGAGTTTTCACTTTAATCCATGGAAACAGTTTTTCACGGCGTATGGGAACACTTGTTCAGCTTAAGCCTTCCTGTCCATATATTTAAACATTTCTCTCTTGTTCTATTTCAGGAAGGACAGTGCACAAAAAAAGAAGAGAAGACTTTGGAAGGTTCATGTCCACAATATAATTTTCTTCGAAAAACGTTTGATATTTGTTCATACTTCTCAAACGGCTGATAGCAAACACGCCCCAAACAATAGTTTCATCGGAAAAATTCAATTATTTTATATTTTCATTGTGCCATTTTTAACAATCAAATCATGGCATGTAGTTTAGTAATATCCATTATATATTATAATAACCAGAGAGCGAGAGGGGTTCATATCTCCTAATAAAAAAAATCACCGATCACGGATTGTGAAACTGTTTGCTGAATTTAAATTCTGTTTATATTTATGTTTCGCAGTGTTAACGGAAAAATTAGACAAAGTGGAAAGTGAGTTCTATCAATTAAAAAAGACGATGGAAGAATCAGAGACGAACTCAGTGCCGCCCTTTGTTGTAGGTATCAAGGAAATGACCACACTCCATGGTATGAAAATTTGTGTCGTTTGGTATCGCAATATTAAAAAAGTCTTCTTCAGTCATAGTAATAGGTAAAAGGGTGATTATGCGAAGTCGCTGCAAAATGAATTTTTTGAAATAAAATTTTTGAAACATTGCTACAATTTATGAACTTTTTTTTACCCAGGATACAAAGACAAAAAAGCTTCTTCGGTCCGTACTTCAATCGTCCCTGATACATCCCCGTGGTCAACTAAGGAAGCCTTTCTCTCTACTGTGCGCCCACCAACTACAAAATTTGAACAGAGTACAGGTTGGTAGTAGATGCTTATGTATTAGTAATTGTCGTATCTAGCTCCTTGTTTGCAGTGGGATGTAATAATAAATCACAAAAACACTGAATGTATTTGCTTGATTATAAGATATCAACGTGTTCGCCTAAGATTATTCTTAGATAAACAACTTTCTTTATTCCGCAAAGCGCCTCGATATAGATCCCGATTTCTCGAGTCGCACAGCAAAACTACAGTACCAAAGGTCATAAAGCGATGCAACGCATACGGACACCATTTTGAGGCAATTTTACTCTGCCCTATATTAAGGCCAAACATGTTAATAAACGTAAATGTGATATATATTCCTTAAACTAAACAAGACCCAGAAATCGTCGTTTTTTGTTTTGTTCATTTTTGGTAGGTGAGTTTTTGTTTTTTGACTTTCGCATACGTCAAAAAATCACAGTGCCGTAATGAGGCCAGCATTTGAAATATATGGACGGTGGTCCTAAACGTGTATACGATCATCCCGAATCGAGCAAATTACGTCGTAAAATTAAAAGAGATACCATCCCTCTCGTTATCGATCTTGATCGGTCTATTTGTTTGTTTGTCTGTTAGACACTTTCGTATGTTACGCGATATCTCCCGAAAGCGTTGAATCTGCTCTAAATTTTGCATGTGCATTTATTATATCTTGTACAGAAAGTCTATTAATTCTGGATGAATTATGTCCTATAATTAGCGAGTTATTGATTAATTAGTGATGGTGTCGCTGTTGAGTCAGAGCGAAGGATACACGCCACTAGATCGATAAGTCGGCGGTCTCTGATCGCTATCTCGTTGTTCGATCATTTTGTAAACGTCAAAAATTCAAACTTCAATTGATTTTGTGCTTCTATTGATGATTTTGCTTCGTCACTGCTAAAAGTCTGATATTCCGACATTTGATTATCTCTGGACTTCAAATTTAAATAGGACTTAAAATTGTTTCAACCCGATATCGATTTTAAATTCCATCCGACTTTACACCCCGGTATTCTTGTACGAAATGTCCATTTAAATAGCGGTTGGGACCATAAATCCATCTCTATTCCCAAACTGTTGTCTATATGGCAGCCCAGTAGCCCTGTACAGAGGAGCCCATTTAAATGGCGATGGGGCTATTTATTCACCCGCATTCCTAACATGATGTCTATAGGGCAGCCCAATAGCCCTGTTGAAATGGTGATTGACAAAATGCGATTATGCGAAGCATTTAAAAAAGAAAAATTTCGATATATACCCACAATGCCATCCAGTTTCTCATTCTTATCTTAAAGTACCCAAAACTATAAATCTTGCTATAAATTATGAACTTATGGAATATAAACTCACTTTTTGACACAGGATACAAAGACAAGAAAACTACTTCGGTCCGTACTTCAACCGTCCCAGCTACATCCCCGTGGGCAACTAAGAAAGCCTTTTTCTCTACTGTGCTCCCACAAACTACAAACGTCGAACAGAGTACAGGTTGGTAGTAGATCTTTATATAAAGTAATTGTCCTATCTAGCGCCTTGTTTAGAGTGGTATCTAAAAACCAATCACAAAAATACTGAATGTATTTGCTTGATTATAAGATAGTGACGTGTTCGTCTATGATTATTCTTGGAAAAATGGCTTTCTTTATCCCCGCAGTGCGCCTTGTTATAGGAGAGAGCAAAATTACTTTAAGATGGCGTCCATAGTCTGGGCGTTTCCTCGCTTTATGCCCTTTGGTGCTGTCGCTTTGACGTGCGACGTGATCAATAGGGGTCTGTTATAGTATAGTACCACAATTACTGCTAGAATGCGTGGATACCCATTTTGGCATGCGTTATTGCTGACCCTCATCTGTGACTACATCATTCAAAAAAAAAATCTGGCGAAAACATTCGCGCCCAGCCAAGGATAGCTTAAAGCCTATTAATTTCTATGAACTCGCGTCGTTTAAATTAGACAAAAAGTTTTTGTTAAACTTGAGTTATCCAAAATTCAATATGTTATAGATTTTTCATGATCATAAATAACCTCTGTATTATCCAGGGCATATTTCTCTGTTATATTTCTTTAGCTTTAATAGCTTAGTAGTTGCCCCTAATTTGCTCAAAGATATGTTTCATTTATTTCTGAGTGAGTTCGCGTGACCTTTGTTGAAGCAAATAAGATTACATATGTTCAAAATGTCTAAAGGGCTCACAATCACATTATTGTAAAAAACAACAAAAGACAATTATCCTGAATAAAATGACAAAAAGTTATTAATTGAAACGTAGAAATAAATATTCTCCCTAAAAATTGTTCCATAAATATCTGACTTGAAACTCTTTTGACTGTCATTTTCCTTTCAGAATGCGGAGTTGTCTATAATTCGAGTTGTATTCGAGCTATCGTTTATGACGTGAGGAACGTCACATTAAGCGTCGCTAAATCTCTTTGCGAAAACAAACTGGCTAACATTTATGACGTCACACACTACAACCTGGTTCGAGAATATTTACGACCATTGATTCCTGGTACCTACATTTGGGCTCGTACTGGAATGAAATACAAGGTAGTTCGGGTTTGAATCGTGTTGCTTATGCGGCCATACATGAAATCATTATAAAATGTGGTCGATATTGTTTCTGCATTATCATGTGCTATTACATTTCAACTTGAGATTAAACCCATATAGCTATAGCATAGGAGAAAGGTTTAAATCGAGCCATTTATAACACTAACTACTCCAGGCTGATATCAAATTTGGCTCTCCTACTGGATTTAAATAATTCGTTTGCCAGCGTTTTCCAGTTTTTATCAAAAAATTCAACCACAAATTTTCGTCTTCATGATATGTTTCCGGATAATTCAACAATTTGACTCCAACACAAGCGGAACGCTTCAACTTTACATCTCTGGAACTAAATCTAATCCAAGATAATCCAAACTAATTTGCTTTATGCGTCCATACAATTTTCATCCACACACGGTAATCACTTGAGTGCGACTGAACAGAATAATCACGTGATGGTGTCACGCTTCATTCTTTTTTTACCGGAGACCAAATAGGTTTGTTTTGCTCTGTTAGATCATATGGCAGGGATTTAACTTTACTCAACTATATTCTCAAACTGCAATTTATCATATTTCTCAAAATATATTTTTTTATTTCAACAGAAAGGTCAGCTTTATTCAACCACCGGCCACGCCATGTCTCTGCCAACTGAGGTTTGGCTTCCTAATTATCCGTCTTCCATTGCAACATCCACAACTGTTGTTGTTCGTGTCGATCGAATCTTGGACAAGGACTATCCGCAAGCAGTTTTTATGAATGTTCCTTCTGCATATAGATTTGACGCAGCCATCTGTGAAAATGAATTATAACTCTGTCCATTGAATGATTGATAAACAAACACTGTAGAAAAAATGGACAGTGGGAGAGGATGTTATTCACCCTATAGTAGAACAATTAAAACTTTGAGTTCCTGTTTCCACAGTTAAACAAACATATGTTCTTGTATTCCCGGATATAAATAACCTTTATTTAGTCTAAAGACGGGTGTAGAATAACTATCAATAAAGTGTTAGGGACGGTTAATTTACCGATACTTTTATTTCTTGAGTTTTTATTTTCAAAATATCCCAGGACTCGAACCGAGATAAATTGGTCATACTAGGCCTGAGATACATAGATCACAATGAGCCTGTTAAAAGGTTGTTCGCATGACATTCGGAAAAAAAATTGAAATTATATTGAAAAGTGACGAGCCGAGGAGTCGGTTTTCATGTTTTCTTCTTTACTCCACTCAATCGATTCCACTGAATTCAAACCTGGGCCCCATATGTTGAACCAAAGCGATTTAATGCTCAATTATTCAAATTGTCTGTCTGTCAGGGTTTTCTTGTGTAGGAATTCTAATAAAACAGTATTCATTGTTAGATTTCCACGAAACAAATTATCTTTTATTTCTTAGATGTGATCAAGAAATGTTTGAATTTATTATTATAACCTAATCTTTCTCTGAGTGGATGTAAATAATCTTGAAATATTGGCGATTCGGTTTTTTCAAATATATATTTCATGTTCAAGAAATATCAGTAAATTTCAAAATTGTTTGATACTTCATACATTCACAATCGAATCGACTTCACAATTGTTTCGATAATGAAACCTGTGGTAAACTTTTTTTAATGGAGAGTTACGAACGCTCAGTAAAATTAATGCTTTTAGAATTTATAAAGAAGTTTTTGACTTATTTTAAAACCATCGAAAATCTAGAATTTCCACAAATTCAAACTCCTGTTCTTGTGGAGCCTTGCTCAACTCCTATTCCACAGTCATGTATTTTGTAAAGTTTGTCATTTTATGATGAATCGTTTTATGAAAATTAAATTTATTTAGAAAACTCCAAATCAAAATAACCATAAAACAAAAGTACAAAATAGTTTTGATATAAACGTAATTGGCTTTTTTTATTGTTTTGCAGATTTTTTTTTGTTTTTGCTATTTTAACTTTTTTACCGTCGAATGCCATTTCAGAAAGTCGTCTCTCGACTAATGCATTTTGAGTAAAAGATGTGAATTTCAATGCTAGTTCCACATATTGCGATGGATATATTTTTCTCAAATAAACTAACCACATTTAATTAGAAGATTTTGTCGAGAAATGTTTTACAAATATCATGGTGATTCATCCAAAAGTTTGTGTCTGAGTTTTAAGTTTTCTTATATATTTTCAAATTTGACATACTTTTTAATTTCATTAAATTAGAGTTTCGATGTGACCCCAATGAAATATAGGGAATCTAGGTTTGTTAAGAGGTTATTAAAATTAAAATCACAATTACAGCATTGTCTTCACTTTACAATTTTTTTTACTCACACCTTTGTTTACATTTATTTTACTTGTGTGTGAATTATAAGGATTGATGATATTTTTATTTTATTTGTTCTGATATTTTATATGTTAAAATTAATTTGAATCACAACATTAAAATAGGATATTTTACAAAAAAAGTTTATTCTTGATAATTTAATAGTAAAAAAGATGAAAAAGGATTTGAAATTTCAGTGTGACCTAAACAAAATATGAGGAAATGCTAGAACTTTATCAAAATTGAAATAAATTACAGCAATGCCTTCTCTTTAAAATAAGCAAGTTTTATATTTCGTATGACCTCCCCTGTCGTGTTATCAAAATATAGAAAAAATAAATTTCATTTTTACGCTTTCCATTTTTCTTGTGTGTTAATTAGTGTGATATTTAGTTTTTTCATTCACTTTGTTCAAATATTTTATTGCTTAGATGTGTTTCTGAATCTTATATTTTTTTAGCAAAATATTTTGACAGAACACATTATTTTTAACGAACTGAACTTAACAAATAATATTCACTAAAAATGAATTGAACTCTCAGTGCAGAAATAGTATTTGCTAATTTTTGTGAATAAAATTTTCTTTTAAAACGTTATCATAGCTCAAAATATAGAATAAAATATTAGAATGAAGAAACACTTGAGATTAAAAAAACAGAGTATAATTAATCGGGTTGATGTGGTCAGGAGGAAAATATAATGATCCTTTAATTATCATGTCGATGCTTTCACAAATCCTTGTTGAGAAAGATTGAAAGGATTTAACAGTATTATGAACTATTTGTTGAGTACGACATTTGGTTGTTCACAAAGAATGCACCAATTTTTTCGTTATTCAATGACCGTTGCGAGTCCAGCATTTGTCGCAGCATACTTCAGTATTACATCATGCCTGACAATTTCTTTTTTATTAAACTTTGAAGTTTTCCGTAACACATATGATCGATTGTTCAAATATTATTTAAAAACTACATCTACATCAAACTACATCTACAAATCAAAGATAACATGAATCAAAAATGACTTATGCCGTGTGCAAATGTCCGGGATGCAAATGTCCGGGATGCAAATGTCGGTGGGTGCCATAGTATAGAGGTTCAAATGTCTTGGGTGCAGTTTGCGGGTGCAAATGTACGTGGGTTCAAATGTGCTGTCACCAATAAGAACTGATTGGTATGTAATTCTGATTACTGACAATGTATAGTTTAGACTTTAGAGAATGTCCTTACCACGATATCATTAATTTTATATTATAATAATCATAATGAACGTTCGTTGTCAAGGTAATTTTGATAACAACTTGCCATTTTATTTTTGGTCCTCAGGCTCTTCACGAAGTTCTGAATACCGTAAAAAAGTTGATATTTATAACGATGCCTGGCGCAAAGAAAGCGGTCTCTCTTTCAGATGATAAAACGAAACATTTAATGCACTAAATGAACGTTGTCATCTCAGTAACCTATTGAACATAAATAAACCTGTGGAAAGTTTTGCTAAATCATCGTTCAACTCTGTTATATTGTTCTATTTTTAATACTTGCTCGGAAAATTGGCTCATCGGAAAAACCACGCCGTAGTTCAACTTAAAACAATATGTGGTGTTACAATGAGCACGGGAAGTCCTGATGATTTATGTAAAAAGGAAAGTAAATTTTTTTAGAGGATGACACTATATTCAACATCTGATATTTCAAAAGCGTTTAGTCCAGTAGCTAAGGAAAAGAACATTGGTTTTCGAATGGGTATTAAATTTGACGCCACGAGTAACTCGATGTAGTACTTCCACGATCCGTTGACACCCGGACGAAAAAACAAACCTTACCTTTCTTACAATGTCTTTGTTTTTGGACACGCTAATGGACATAGCGATTGTTTCGATATTATGTTGTTCTTGTTATTCGTCATCATTATCATTAAAAATAGCTTCTTCGAATACTTGGACAATGGCTTTAAAATGTTCAGTGGTTAAAGATTGATTTTTTGCCAGAAGGCTATTACTTTTCTTTATGTCTAAATTTCGTATGAAATCTGATATTTCGTCCAAAATTTTGCTGTATTATTTTATCCATGGGAACTCTGGCTGTCCAGTTAGATACTGTAAATTCTTGCGACGAGTAACTCGGAAATTTTTGGAGGGTACCGGTAGCGTCAAAGGTAAGCATTGCTTCGCTCTGGTTAACGTGTACATATATTTGGGAATTGCTCTCTTGTTTCTGTTATTATGGTAGCCTTAAGACAGACATATTATTAAAATTATCTCAATAATTTCAATCAGCGAAGTACAACTGTACATTGGTCTCGAACGGTTTCATTTTCCAGTGCATTCAAGTACAGAATTAGGTACGCATTACCAAAATTACGTCCGAGGTGCAATCAACAGGATCAAGTGAGTGTTTTTTGTTTTAGTATATGTGCAATGACAATGCTCTTTAATCACAGCCTAATAATACACATTTTCAACTTTGCTACGTTCCTGCGTAAAAATACCAGTAAAAATACCAGTAAGGGTAAGTTAAAAGTTTTCGTTCGACCGTATCCTATCCGAGAAAACTTTACCGGTAGCGCACTCTCAATCCGAAGTGTGTTCTTATCAGCGATTTATCATTTTGCGTGTTTCATAATTGTTCCAGACGAAAAAATATTCAAGTCTTCTTGTGATACCATATCAACTTGTGCCTTTAAAAAATAATTTTTTTTTTGCATACAGTTAGTGGTCACTTAAGACTAATTTTTTGTAATCTCTTTAACTTCAAAATTTGTTAAAAGCGAATATATACATCTAAAAAGTGGAATGCTGTATTGAGTGCAATCCCCAAAATAAGTAGATTCAGAAGTAAGTACACCAAATACATTTGCATCATGCGGAATAATATTGAGACAAATCATATTTTTTATATTTTTAGAATCAAGTTTGATTGCAAGATGTGGATTTACTCTACTGATTAGTTACGTACACTGAAAACGTATGAAAACGAATAATAATTGAACCTGCGACAGTTTATTTGATGAATATAGTTTCTATCTTTGTGATGTTTTCAGTGAATAGAACACTCTACGTTGCAGATTCCGTAATATTCTGCAAGTCCAAAATTTCCATCGTAAGATTTGCTGAAAGGCCCAATGCCGCGATTTTAGTAAAAAAAAAACGTATAATTCAAATCTCTATATCTTGCCAACGTCAAAAAACCCTGACAGAAAATTTTCTAGGATATATTGGTTCTGATTTTGCTGGGGTTGTTCATTAAATTCGATTTTGTCGAATAATCAATGTGCTCAAGTTTTTTTTTTTTTATGACATATGAACAACATTTGCCGGAGATTTTATTTTTAACTCAATCGTATCGTACAATGTATCGAGGTCAGTCTCCTTTACTCCTGAGTCGGTGCGCATGGCCTTGCTTGCTCTTATAAAAACAAAAGATCAATGCTCCAATATATGGACACGAAAGCCAAAATGAAATAGCATCATAATCGTACAGCATCAGCAGACTGACGCATTTTTTTATTTTATTTTTGGAATGAAAAAAATACAATCCATAGAGCCCACAAAAGTTTTTTAAATTAATTAGAGTACAACGATCTTTAACCACTGCAAAATTCAAAGCAATTGGTTCCATAGATAGAGAAATGCGAACCAAAAAGTGAAATTACACCAACAATAACGTAACAATAACATGAAAAAGAAAGCAATTATAGGTACATTTCGTGTCCAATAAAATGAAGTTCCAAAATTGAAATAAAAAACAATTCAAAACAAAGATGCTGACGCGAAGCATTTCTCATAAGTATATATTATTTGGTCCTTCTGGCGTGAAGCTTTTGCAATATAATTAGATTCTTCATTATTTTTGATGAATACTGTTTTATGGATGTTAAAAATGAGAGAAGTGTGTTTGTTTATTAAAAACTTTGAAAACTAATTTATTTTTCTCTAATTAAAAGCTGTAATTTTTCGCTTGACTGCAAGATGAGGTTGGTGTAAAAACTCAAGTATATATGTGCATATAGTTAAGAGTTAAAATTTTTGGAATGAATAATTCCATAAAGACCACACAAGTCTTTGAAACTAATCAAAGCAAAAGCAATTGGTCTTGTAGTTAATGAGAAACGCGATTTTTTTTTTCAACAAAAAGAAGAATTCCAACTACAACAATAGCATAATAACAAAACGGATATCGGACAGGACAAAGGACACGTCCATTTCGCGTCCAATGAAGTGAAAATTTGAAAATTAAAATAAAAAACAATTCAAGTGAAAGTTTTTACACAAAGCGATAAGTATATACAACTTAGTCCTTCGGGGTGCCGAAAGTCAAACAGAAACCACTCTCAATGATAGTATAAAGAGAAGCCAGATTTTGAAAGAGTTTTCTTCTCCATATTTGTCACAAAATTTCGTTCCTGACATGTTAAAGACATACAATCGTCGAGTTCGTCAG